TCGTTTCCACTCTATCGTCAGTGTCAAACCATTGGTCTCTGAATATTAACACATTCTCACTTCTGGCCTGTAGATGTCACTACAGTAAAATATTTAACTATACTCACTATTACACACACCGTAGCACAACAGTGTTACACAATTAGCATTTTAATCAGCCTTTCTGCATATGTTTGTTAAACTTCCAGACTTTGTGTTCCTAAAGTCCTTCTAATCTGACGCAGGTGTTAAATGAAGTGGTGGTGGATCGAGGCCCGTCTTCCTATCTGTCCAACGTTGATTTGTACCTCGATGGGCGGCTCATTACTTCAGTCCAGGGAGACGGTGAGACGAGAAAACGTCTTTTCTTTTTACGCAGCTTCGTCTCAAAAGCAGAGTGAAAATGTCCGTGTCCTCCAGGGGTGATCGTGTCCACGCCCACTGGCAGCACGGCGTACGCAGCTGCGGCAGGAGCCTCGATGATCCACCCTAACGTCCCAGCCATCATGGTCACACCCATCTGTCCACACTCCCTGTCCTTCAGGCCCATCGTGGTTCCTGCTGGAGTGGAGCTCATGGTAAGACTCTGTGTGAAGAAGCAAAGCAGAAGAAAAAGCACTTAAAAATGAAGAACTCAGCAAAGAATCAGGGCATGAAGACAGAAACTCCATCTCTGAACAGTGAAAAATCAAGAGCTTACATGATTGGCAGATCAGGCGAAACGCAAACATGAGAACATCTGGAGAGAACATAACAAAATGCAAGAATAAACTAAGAAACTGAGTATGAAAAAATATATGGCAAGACCTTATGAGCAATAATTAGTACAGGGGCTGAACAGAATATCGCAAGATCTGATCAGAAGTAAAAAACACAGTAAATCATGACAGGAAAAACAATAATGCAACAAAAAAAATATGAAAATAACTAATATGGCAGAAACTATGAAGTATACAATCAAACCAAAAGCCAAAAAACCCAAAACTCAACTGTCAATTACTGATCTGTGTTTTGATACACAGATGTATACAATATTACACGTTTTGGTCCCATATTTGTTTGACGTTAAGACGATGATGGACACTTCATCCATCTGTCTGTTTGCCCATTTATCCTACTGTCCTTCTTCTCTCCGTCTCTCTTTGCTTGTTGCAGGTTGTGTGTTTAAAGTTGTTAATATTTATACTTTAAATATGGACTGAAAAGGACTGAGAACTCTGAAAAGTTGAGTCTCAGAACTTGTAATTGTGGCATGAAAAATGTGGAGGAACCCCGTCCCATCTTACTTAGTAGGACTGGATGGTATAGCTGAAAAATGTCTCACGATATAAGCATTTCCTGTCAGTCGATATTGATAATTTAAGTGTTTATTTGATATACACCAAACTGGTGGTGTGACCTTTTCTGGTTTTTCCACAGTTTTCACTTCACGCCGTTGTTTTTAGAGTTTGAACTGCTGAAGCTTTTCCTCTGCCTACATCCCCCAGAATGCTGTGCAGTTCTGGGATGGACTTCAGCGAAATTATTGGTCATTCCATCAGACGTGTTATCTATTGATACTGTTATTGATTTATTGTCATGTAGGAAAGGTCAGTAGAAATGCAAAATGAGTATTTGTCTCAAACATTTCCGTCACTTTCAGGGATTAATAGGTTAGTTTAAACGGGACTAAAGAGAAGATGCTCTGCGTTGAAACCTCTTTTTTTTGTTTGCCAACAGATCACTCTGTCCCCTGAAGCCAGGAACAACGTCTGGGTGTCGTTTGACGGCAGGAGGAGACAGGAGATTCAGCATGGAGACTGGTACATTTTACACATTTCATCATCAACGCTCCTGGTCTGTTCCAGCTGCTCTCCTTATCCTCCGTCTGTTTTTTTGTTTTTTTCCTCCTGACAGCATCAAGATCACCACGTCTTGTTACCCTGTGCCGTCCATCTGCTGCCATGACCTGGTGTACGACTGGTTCGAAAGCCTGGCGCAGTGCTTGCACTGGAACGTTCGCAAGAGGCAGGCCCGACTCGCCGACGTCTCAGACTCCTCAGACACAGAGAGCTAAAAGAACGACGGCAGAGGAGATCAGGTTCGCTCCGAGATACGATCAGAGAGCACCAGACTGTGACAGAGGCGGATCAGCCTGCACTGCACAGGCTGTTATAGTGAGTTTACCCCTGAGTTGTAGTATCTTAATGCACGCTGCATTTTAATTTGTCGTTATTATGAGAGCATGCAAACACCTAATGCAATATGAGCGTTGAGGAAATCATTGCACTCCCCATACATAAAAAAACAGCATGCTGTAGTAAAAACTTAGCATAAAAACAGCCTAAATAAATAAAAATTAAGTTGACTGAACTTCCTATTACCTGTACATTTGTACATATAGATCTCTAGTTTAAATGTATCTGTTACATTTGTGTTTGTGTATGTCAACAAGTTGAAAATATTGCTAACAATTACCTGAAGTTTGTTTTCCTGCAGCATCTAGAGCCGTCATTTTGTTTGTACTGTAGTTATGTTTGAAGCTAAAGCTGCACTCACTCTGTGCAGGACTGCAGCACAGCTACGTGAATTTCATGTTTATGAAACTGACAAATAATGATGCAGAAAGCCATAATGTGAAAATAAAAAGCCTGACAACTGTTCCCTTTGTTAGCTTGATCTTTGCATGTTAAGTCTTTAGAAGAAAGATGAAAGTTGTTAGGAAAGCTATTTTGCAACTTTCTACAATGATTATGTAGCAAACCACAGAGTACAGCATGTGCTGATATAGTTGTGTAATGTTTTATCACAATGATATGCAGATTCCACATTTTCATAAATGACAGATCATCGTAAAACATTTTATCGATTCATTACACAGTGATAGTTATTTCAGTTAAATGTTCTTGTTTCACAGATAAACAAAATTCAAAATGTTTTTAAAGACATATACAAGACATCTAGCTGTCTTTACATTTGTCTGGCTAATGGTGACTAACACCTGAAGAAACTGACTGTTCACAGAAAGTTGAGTGACAGGAAAATGTTTGCAAGAATAAGTGACTAAGATCCAGAGTTTTCTGTAGATTGAGAAACAGCTGGAGGCAGGAAAACCTGAACTATCACTGAATAAATGCATCCACAGGTTGCAGCTGTGGAAATTCAGCTTCTGAACAGGAATCATCAGAAATGTGAGCTAAGGAAGAAAGACTGGGGTCTTTGATATTCTCAGTTTTTAAATTTTCTGGCTTGTGTCAGGACTTCAACAGGGAAGTATATGAACAGAAAGTTAAGTGGAAGAAAAAAGTAATAACTGAAAACAAGAATAGAAACTCATTGAATGAGCTTTCTGAGAAGGAAATATTTGTTTTATTATTCATAAATAATCAAAATGAACAAAAATAAGCAGTTTGATGAATGGATCTGAGTTTCACTTTCAAACTAAATTACTAAAATAACTTACATTTTTCAAGATATGTTTGTATTACATCCTAAACTGACTGTTTTAACCCTTACATTTTCCCCACAGAAACAGAAACTACACACATTCTCTTGATGCTTTCTAGGTTTTTATTGCAATGATAACATACAGATATAATCCAGACATCCAATTTCAGTAAATTACACTTCGATATCTTGGGAGACCGTCTTGAGAGTGATATCGACAAGGTGGTAAAAAAAAAAAGACACCAGAGATAAAATGTGGAAGATTTTATTTTATTTTTTTAAACATTTTTACTTGAATTTTCCCCGGAAATGTGCGACGAGAAGCAGCAGCAGCAGCATAGAGTAATACTACGATACACAACAGACCGATAGTTTGCAACAGTCAAGAATAGCTGGGAGAATCGTTTCGTGTTTGTGTGGAGAATCAGAGTTGAGCCGCTGGCATCGCCGCAAACAGATGCACTTTTGCCCGTTTTAAAACAAAAAAAGGGAAAATAAAAAAAAAGGATGGAAACAATGATAAACAGGACGACATGCAAATTAGAAAATCAGAAAGCGGAACGGAATACGTTAAGAAAAAAAACAAACTACTTAACACAGACTAGACAACATACAGAAAACTGTGTTGATGTTAAACCTTTTTTTTATCAGATTGTGTTACAGGAAACTTCAGGTTTCTTTGTTAGAGGGAGAAAAATAGACCTGGTAACTCACAACCAACCACATCACACACTTTGACATAGCGGCAAATCTAATAAAAAATAAGAATGGTAATAATGCTGCAATCCAATGATTCTCAGATTCTACCTTTTAAAAGTTATTCTCTATGATTTAGATAAAAACAATGACAGGACAAATGAAAAGTTGTTTTATAGGTTTAGACTTTGAATACTATATGCATATATCTGATACATTAATAGAATCCATATATAAATGATACATTTCTGTTTTATACTTAAATATACTCCTTGCTATGCCTAAAAAGAGCGTCTAACCCATTTCTAACCCAAAGATAAAGTGAAAGTACAGCTTGGACCTCGGTGACTGGATCTCAGCCAATCAGTGAGCGGATCTGGACTCAAAAAATAAGCCCACTGATTGGTTGTGCAAGTCTCGATGCGACTCCTTCGGGTGAGTCTGGTGTGAACGCAGTTTTAACGGTTTCATTGAGACCAGAATCCTCTCCGTTTACCTGCATGCTAACAACTTTGTGCTGTGCTTTTTGACACTGCGGTTACAAAATAAATGGCTTTAATAAAACAGAACTCAACTTTAATCATGCATCACTTTAGTTATTTGTTGTGTTTGGCACTAGAGTTCACTTTAGATCTGGTTTTGTTCCCAACTTTAGCTCTTACAGAGTTAATTCTTCAGCAAATTCTGCAGTATTAACAAAATTAAAAAAAAAAAAAAAAATTAGCATGCCAGCTGTCTCCAGTAGCTTAAATGTACCTGTAAAGATAAATTACATTAAGAAATATTTTATACTGAGAGGACAACTGCACTATGATGATTTTAAAAAAAAACAGATGCATCTCAATTGATTAGAGTTAAAAAGTATTTCAGTTCAAAAAGGGAAACTAAGATTTATTACACGGTGAAACATTTCAACAGTTTATTTTGTTTGTAGTGATGACTAAGACTTACAGTTAATGAGAAAAAAATTAAAATAAGAACCGTCATGAACTGAATTAAATTAATTGAAAGTTGAGTGGAAGGAAAACGTGGCAAAAAAATGAGATGTGGAGAAGCACGAAATAGTGCTTCAAGAGAAAGTTAAGTGGAAGAAAAAAGTACCCAAAACAAAAACTGCACAGGCCACAAGGATGGAAGGAGGAAAAGGCCTGCTGATGTGGCTATTAGCTGTAAGACATAATCATCAAAATAAACAAGTAAAATATCTGAACATATGCAATGAATCTGTGTAATGTAGAAGTTTTCCTCTATGAATTGAATTAGTGAATAAATTAATGAATTGGGATGAATCTGCAGAGACCCGCATTACTCTGCAAACCTTTATTCTGCCTCTGTGGTTTTGGGGATTTGGTCCGTCTGGCTGAGTTCAGGATGAACAGCTGGCATCATCCTTCTGCCTGAGGAATCTACCGGACTCACCAGATGACACCAGAACCTCCTGACCGGTCAAACACGACTCCCCACCATCGTCTAGATCGGACCTCTTGTTCTCCAAATGATGTTAAGACCCTGGCAGGCGGTGTTTTGGACCGGTAGGTTCCTCAGGCAAACAGCAGTTTCATTTTAACATAAATAACAATTAATTGGAAAGGAATCATTTCCACTGTAAGGCGGCTGCTTCTTCTTTTTTTTAAACATTTTCCCCATCATCATGGCCTGTGAGCGTTGTGTCTATCCCGGTTCTGTTTAGTGGAAGGAAGATCTCAACAACATGAGATGGAGCCTCTGTGCTGAGAGAGGCCGGACGAGCAGGTCCTGGGATCACAGCAGGGAGAGGAAGGAAACAAGAATGATGGAACAGGAAGTTTATGTCTCAGCAGTCTGGACTTTACTCTCGCTACCCTCTTTTCTCTCCTGCGTCTCCTCATCTTCCTCCTCTCCCTCTTCCTCGTTTTCCTCCTCCTCCTCCTCGTCGTCTTCCTCCTCTGTGTGCTGCTCCAGCTCCTCCCTGGTGATCATTTCAAAGTCGTTTCCGTTGCTGTGCTGCGAGCCTTCGTCCTCCCGACGATCGCTGTCCGTATCCGAGTGGCGGTCTTCCGTTGCATCTCCCTTCGCCTCTTTGCTCTCCTCGTCTTCGTCCTCTTCCTCGTCGTCCTTCTTCTCGCTGTCCGACTTCTCGTCGCTGTCAGACTTCTGCGCCTTGAGGGAGGCGGCGCCGTCCTTCTCGTCAGTCTTATCGGAGCCCTTCTTGTCGCTGCTTCGCGGCCCTTTGTATTCGTGCGTGTAGAGCGGCCTGAACGAGTCGATGAAGCCCACGTCTGCGGTCAGGTTGGGCAGGAACCAGAAGTGATGGCGTCCGCCGGTCACCAGCCAGATAATCAGGAAGAGGATGCAGCGAGCTGAGGAGAGAAGGAACAACTGGACAGGTAGCCATTTTCTCACAGCGCACCATAAAACTTTGATAAATGTAGTTCTTTTTTCTTGTTCAATCAGCATGAGTACGTTCTTTCTCAATATTCTCAATAGAAAATGATCTGAAAAGTGTGGCGTGCATTTATATTCCACCACCTTTACTAAAAAACAAATCTGTTGCGTAAACTCCTTAGAGCAGGACGTCAAACTCATCATCATTTTGGGGAGTTTCAAGATTAGAAATGTTCACAACGGGACGGTTGCTCCAGAATGTATTAATAAAACCCATCAACAAACTGTTAAAATGCTAATAAATACATTTAATAAGTACTTCTTAAAATTAAATACCATTATTAATTAAAATTTGCACTCATGCATAATGGTAAATGTGATTTTTTCTGCCACATCGATAACTTGACATTAAGTAAGGCTGAGACAGCGGTGTAGTACAAGTAAGAAATACTGCCACCTGCTGGTGGGAGTTAGCATCACTTAAATGGGTTAGAACATTTTTGAAGAACATTTGCAAAGATGCATCAGTGTGAAAAAATTGCAGGGATCTGTTGAGTTTATGTGAAATTCTTCAACTGTGGAAAAACTGGATGGACTGATTGATATAATTTGGCAGGAAAAAGATAAAAACTGATTTGATTTGATTTATAAAATAACATTCAAGCGATCAACTGTTAACTGTAAGGATCTATTTATGTAGCTAACTATAGACTGGAGGGCCAACTACAAAGCTGTGGTGGGTCGGATTTGGCCCCCGGGCCTCGAGTTTGACACATGTCGTTTAGAAGTTTATTGGAGTTTATTAGTAAACAAAACCAAGAAATCTATGGAGAGTCCATTAATTCAAACAAATGAATATTGTTATTAATGAATAATTAATAAATGCTCTATAAAATAAATGTTTCCATGAAAAAATAAAATTAAAATAATTTAACGAGAAGCTAATATTGTCAGCTTTTTAGAACTTATTTCAAGATTTATTTAATTTATGTATTTCTTCATTTATTTCATAATTAATGATAATTCTGTCACTTTTGTTTCGTAAGCTACTTTACATATTTCAGATACTTTTATTTTTCTAACTGTGTTTTTATTCTCAGCTCTTTATTTCATATTCTTATATTCAAATAAGTTTTTTTTGGTGGAAATAAATAAATATATAAATCGCAAAATAAATATTGAAGTGAATAAGTAAATCTTAAAATTAGTAAAAAGAAATACGTAGACAGATAATAATTATTATATATAACTATAATAACTATTGTTAACAAAATAAGCTCCAGATATTTTTAATCATTATTTTATTGGTATATTTATTTGTCTAATTACTTATTTAATTCTGAATTAAATGGTTCTCCATGAGGAACACATGAGAACGGTTGGCGATGAGGTTTTAGTTACATTTTGGTATCAGTGTTTAAAGAATCTAAAGCTGCTTTTGAGTCAAACATCACATGAACGTATTTTTAAAACATTATTGTGACTGTATGGGAAAACATGTTTTACTTTAGCAGTTCTACTCACCAACTGCTAGAAGCAGGATGCTGGCCACAAAGCAGCCAGCTGCAACACTCAGATAGTAAACTCCAACACGCATTTCTGCAGGCCACAGCGGGAACAGGGTGGCTGCAATCACTGCAATAACTGAGAAGAAGAAGAAGAAGGTGAGGTGATCCCTCCATTTGCAGAAACCTTTCGGTTCCAGGCCTGACTTACCGAGGATCAAACCCATCGCAAACGTTTTGAAATGAACCGGGTCGTAAATCCACACGTACACCTGCAGCAAAGAGACGTGTGTTACACTTCTCACTTCCTGAGGGAACAGCTTTTTAAAGATGCAGAGGTTCCCACCTCATTCCCATCCAGGAACAGCTGATCCTCATGAGGCTCCAGTTTAAACTTTTTCTTCACTTCTTTCTTCTTCTTTGGGGTTCCTGGGCTCTCATCCTAACGTTCAAAGAAAACTTGTTTCATAATCACAACCCTCGTTGTGGAGTTTTCTTTTTGAAATTAAAACAAATTGTAAGTTATAGTAACATAATTCTTAAAAATAAAGTTATCAAAACTGTTTAAACTGAATCAAATATGATTCACACAAAGTTTTACCTCTTGAGTAAAGATTTAAAGTTTGAACTCACAGCTGGGTAAACATCAACTCACTGACTGTTTAGAGGTCGATCAGCTCAGAGTAAAGGTAACTGAGAACAAATATCATTTTGTGCCAGTGGATCTATAAGGGGAAGTGCTTTAGACAGACCCAAAATGATGTTTGGCTACAAGTAAGATGCAGCTGCAGAAAACCTATAATTTCTGTCCATTTCTAGAGTTTTTCTGAGCCACTTACACTCTTCTCTTTCTTAGTTTCAGCAACTTCAGACTCTTTCTTCTTCTCTTTCTCCTTCTTCCCTTTTTTCTCCTCCTCTTTGCTGCTGTCACTCTTGACTTTCTCTTTCTCCTTCTCTTTCTTAGCGTCTTTCTCTGGCTTCTTCTTCATCACCTTAAGAGCTCGGTGGAAGAACTGCTTCTTTAAGAGTCTGCAAACAACAAGAAAAGATTTGATCTTCAGGAGCTGTGAGTGATATTTACTGCTGAAGTTCCTCCATTTTCAAAGTAAAATAAACATAAAACAGTGTAAGAAATTGTGGCTTTGGAAACTAAAAACTGCTAAAGTCAGTGATCCAGCCAGGCGTTGGATGTGCTTACGGACCTGTTGCAGTAATCTACCACCGACTCTCTGGTGGTGAACAGAGCCTCTTCTCCCTTCTTAGCTTTGGCCCATTTGGAGTCCAGCAGACAGTCCACGGCCTTGGAGGCTAAAAGCAGAGAAACAGTAAAACGTCACGTCTCCAGGGCTGCAGCTAATGATAATTTCTATTAACCTATTGATTATTTGAATTTAAAAAAATGCCACATTCTGCTAATTTATCATTTAAGCCTGTTTTACACAATAGTAGAAATACATTAAAAGATGCAAATAAACCATTTAATTTAATCTCAAAATAAGAAAAACATTTTGCCTAAGGTGCAGTAATAGCATTCCTTTAGTGATCATTTGTTGCAAAAGATGAATCTGCAGCTAGACAAATACTTCTAACATGTAAAAGGCTCAGCTCTTATTACATTATTAATTAATGTTAATACAGTTTAGGGCTGATCTGTTTATTATTTGGGGAATTAACAGATTAATAATTGCACAGTAAAAGCTGCTTAATATGGGATTTTGTTTGTTTACAGAATTCGATCCAGGAATCTAAACCTACGCTACTTGAGGAGTTTTGAATAGAAACTATTTATGTACAAAAGGTTTTTTCTGCCTTAAATGCAAAACGTATATATTTTTTGTACAGTTTTATCTTAATTTCCACTCTGAGAATGTTGTTCTTTCACCAAATGATCTTTCTTTCAAGTCTAAATGCTAAATCAGTGGATAATTATCTCAATAATACATTCATGGTGATTAATGGTTCCAGCCCTAATACAGTGATGTTGATCAGAAAGCTCAACATAAATCAGATTATCTGGAGAAAATCTTCACATCAATTCAACAGATTCTTAATTGGATTTAGCTCTGGACTTTAACTGTGCCATTTCAACACATGAATTTGCTCTAAGTTACGCCGTTGTAGCTCTGGATAAATGTATTTAAGGTCGTTGTTCCTCCTCCGTCTCCACGCCGGTGTCTGGTATCGTCTTTATCTCTTCTTGGCTTCAGTTAACAAACCTGCAGTGAGTTGATGAGAGTCTGGTCTGTGTAGACAGCTGCCTGCCGCCACAGACAATTAAACCCTGAACAATAACTGAGCCTGACAGCGTAACAAAGAGCTGCAAGGAACAGCTACTATTATCACCTCACTGTCTTATGCAGAAACCAACCAGACATCATCCTGATTTTATCCATGTTTGTCCACATTTAGATTGAAACACAGAACAAAGATTTATTAGCTGAAACTATGAGCATGCAAATCCATTTAAAACATATTTCTATTGGGATGAATCATTTATTCCCTGCTTTACTGAAGTTAAATATTTATTTGTACTTTTCTGAGCAGTAGGAGTGGATAGCAACTATAAAACTGACAATAACTGCTACTTATTACCTCTTTTTTAGATAACTGTGCGACTGTGTGTCACAGCAACTGACAAATGGGATCAGCTGTGCGACGAAATACAGAACATATAAACCCTGTGAGGCAGAAAAATGCTTTCCTCGTGTTCGTTAAGCTGAGCACTAACCAATGAAGTAGTCGACTCGGTGACCCATCATGTTGGTGGACTTGGTGGGGCAATTAAACCGAAGGTACTTGGCCACCGCCTTCTCCTCCTTGGTGGGCTCGCTCACCTCCTGCAGACACAATGGTGTTTATTATGGTCCTACTATTAAAATAAAAGAAATCCCACTGGGTACAATTAGAGAATGTATGAAACATAAAATTAACCTGCAAAAATTATAGTTAATATGAAATCTGATATTTTTAAAGAGTCCAACATCTTGCAGCATTAAGATCAAAAATAAATCACACAAAAACTTTAATATAACCATAATAAAAGACCGTAGTACTTCTACTTATCCAAAAGAAAAGAGAAAATCTCCACAAAGTTTGGTCAGTATATTCATTAATGTAATGAAATGCTGCCAGGAAACTAAAAAAAATGACAAAGCCAAAAGTATTACCCCTCCTGTGCTCGTTTTTATGCAAAATGTTGGAATTTGGAAGAATAATTTAAAGAAACTGGATAGATGGTTGCTCCAAGTTGGTCTAAAAACCTTTTGAAAGTTCTGAGAGCCCAGTTTTCTTATTACAATTCTGAACATCAATGGAGAATTTGTCTCGGAACCGTTTTTATTATGATAATTTCCGTAGAAATATTAAGAGTCTACCTGATTCCTGGTGAACAGACAACACCACAAATCAATCAAAATGTTGGTGCAGATATGGAGGTCTGTATGAAATGCTGCCTGCGTTGCTGGACTGACTGGCCACAACCAAACATTTAAGCATCAAGTCATTCTTTGACCAGTTCTGCACCAGTATGTAAAGTTTCTAACAGCTTAATACTCATGGGAGAATTTTATTCCAAGATTGTAAGTAATGAGGGAAAGCCAGCGTCTTCCAACGTCCGTTGAGAGAAAATAAAACACATGCTTTGCTAATTCTGCATTGCTGTGTGCATAAGTTCGATCTTAAGCAAATGTAATGTTTTGAGATGCAAAGGGAAATTGGCTGCCAAGTGTTACTAAGATGACTTTGGGTGCTAATGGTGCAAGAAGAAAACTAAAAGTTGCCATTTTTATCTGAGGTCAGAGAAAGACGAGAAGCCACCTAATAAAAAACAGTATTTAGAAACATCTGTATTTCATTCCAGCTGTCAGGGAGACTTTTAGTAGCTAACAGGAAGGCTAAACAAAGCAGAAAAGTTCCTCTTTTATACAGCTACAAACATCCAATATGGCATGGAGGAGTTGGGAATGTTGGAAACCAATAGAAGATGGCAAAGACACTTTAAATGTTACATCCAAGAACATGTTATCTTTTGTATCCAGTTTATCCTTCTTTCAGACATACTGTTTTCTCTACACACGCTGTGACATTTGATAAGCTCCTAAAATAAATACTTGACAAATGCTGATCTTACATTTTCATTATTTCCCTTTACAAGGTAATCTGTACAAACTGGTACTGAAGGTTCAATTTGTTCATCTCTGTAATTTTCAGAAACCAGTTTTATGATCAACAGACAAGAAGTTGCAAGCACAAAATATAAAAATATGATTTATTATAAAAATCTGACAGTGACTAGTCAACGCAGCGATTCCTGACTGCTGGGGTTGCATGATTTCTCTTGTTTCCATCTGATCTTCCTGTTGCCCTTTAGTATCTTGGTCATTAATACTAACTATGGACATTAAAAGTTCATCTAAATGAACAAATACATTATTGGAAAACAGATTTTTAATGAATGACAAAATAGTAGAGTCAACCAAATATTACATCCACGTAATCCTTTCCAATTGCAATTCCACACATATTGATGATGTAGCGACAACAGCAACGCAATATATCGGCCTCCTACGGCACACACTCCTCATTCAACATCTGTGTCGTCTGTTCTGCTGGTAGCAGCGCTGAGCAACATGGCAGCGAAGGAAAAAACAAAAAGGCAGAATCAATCTAGAGATTCTGTGCTGCTTCGTTCAGTCCAGCTGGCTTTGATCCCCACCAAGAGGAACAACAGCGCTTATAAACGCCCCTTTGTTTGGAGAAGCAGCCATTAGAGACAGATCAGTTGCACCTGGCAGGAATAGGGAATCTCTTTGATAGTTTATATGACCGAGGACCTACCTGGGTTGATCGCAGGAGGATAAGCTCCTCTCAAATAAGCAGGTCTGAATGATACAGCCGTTCTAAGGAAATGCTGATGGTCGCTTTGTGGTTTCAGTCTGCACATTTAAAATGTCAACTGCATGCTCAGTGCTGAATTATAGTTATTATGGAGTACCACACTGTAACCAACAGTGCCTTCCTAAGTTTTCATGACATTTTTCACATTGTACCTTACAACCCCATCCTTTAATCAACCCTTGTCCTCAAGTCACACTGCCCTGCATGTTTTAGGAATTCCCCTGTTTCAGCACACATGATTTCAATTGATGGCTGATTAACAGGGTTTTACTGAATTGAAATCGTGTTGAAGCAGAGGAACATTTAAAACATACAGGACAGAGTGCCTTGAGGACAAGCAGGGTTGGGAAACACTGCTTAAATATATTGTATTGGGATTTTTTTGTGATAGACCAACAAAGTAGTAGTTGTTATGGGGAAGGAAGACAATGCATGGTTTTTAGAACAGTTCAGTGTGGCCAGAAAGTTTATTTTACCTCTTTTACTGTAATACCTCTAAATAAAATCTACCACTTTACCTAGTTAGTAAAGAAAGCCCACCTGTGTTTAAAGCGACCTTAGTATTAATCCTGCCGTTCTGTGAAGTTTGTTAGAGAACATTAGTGAACAAAAAGCGTCACAAAGACCAAGAAGGTGGTTCTTACTAAAGAAAGCCAAAAATAATTTAATTTTAATAACCAAAGTGACATTTAGTAATATATTATATATGAATGTACTTTAAATCTAACTTGTGTCTGAGCATGTGGAATACAATGATGTTTTCGTTTTGTATTTATTTTAAATCCCTGATCAATTCTAGAGTACTTGTTTTAATTTACCCATTTATATAAGCAATGCACCTTATTTAAATAATGTTCATTTTAGACATGGTTTCTGCTTAAATATTTTGTCAAATTTTTGGATTAGTAAAAGTTTTCACTTCAAAATTGTAGATCTTCTTTTAAAAAATCAACTGTTTGTGGTCTTAATTTGAGTATTGATGTCACAGCTTTACATTTTAGCTCACTAGCCTTTCTTATTTACAGGTATTGGTTATTTGTTTATTGGTTTAAAAAAAAAGGTTATCATGTATCCCTACATTTAAGTCTTTGAAAATGAAAACAGAAATGAATTTCTAGTTTAATTTAATTCCCTTTCGAAATAAAAGATGCATTTAATTTGGTGCGTGTTAATAAACGTGTGCCTGTGATTTCAGTGTGTGAAGTTTAGGTTGTAACAATATTTTTCTAAGACACCAAAGGTTAATTTTAATTGCTAAAAAGGTATGAATCACCCTGAAACAAATGAATGAAATCAAATCAAAACAAAATAGTTAGGCATGTAGTTATGTTTGAGGCAAGATTCCTTTGATCAGTTCATTACTGAAGTAAATACAAGTATTGTAATAGAGATCAACCAAAACATTTACAAACTGCCAGGCATCCATCCTGTTTTCTAGGTTAGCATCGAGAAAAATTAATTCTGGGAATTTTCTAGCAATATTTCACCTTCGTCCTATTTCTTTTTAATTTACTATAATTCAAATGAATGGAAGTGAGCTGCACATTGTATACTAGTGAGGACGAAGTTAATGAAGCCTGTAGGTACTATGTCCATTTACTCTTAAGTTTTTGTCTTCAAGGCGCTCAAAGAGGGTCTACAATTCATCTTCCTGGACCTATAAAGAAGTGTATTGTGTCAGCTCACTAATTAAATTGCCCCACGTTATGTAAACACTGTGCTTAGAGCTGACGCAGCTTAGCCAGAAAACATTTATAACCACTCCTGCCTCGATGAAAATGAAAACCGACTGCAAGGATGAGCAAGACAGAAAGCGGAGAAACGTCCCCAAAATGGCAGGGGAAATACCTATGAGTGCTACAAGTAGCATACTAGAAAAAGTGTAGTAAAAACTGCTATTTATTTTCGCTACCCTGCTAATGATAGCAACCGTTAGCCACTTACAGCTTCAATTGCTCAGTTATTTAACGACTCTTGCGTCAGAAAAGGCTGCCGTTAGGGCTATATTCCGATAGTTAGCCGTACAAACCGACCCCGAATTTTATTTGTAGTGTACCAACCAACGGAAGCAACGTTTCATCACGAATGAAGTGATGTTACCTGGATCCGTTTCTTGTGCCTCCTGCGCTCCGCCATGATCCTCTCCAACTCAGCTACCCCGTGGGTAAAATCTCGCGAGACTCATCGGCAGCGAGAAAACAGCTTTACATTCACAACTGTTAACTCCCGTAAAATAGGATTTAATACCATTAGTTTTAATGGACAAAGTGAAGTGATTTCACATTAATTATGGTCCGCTCAGTAAATTGTAAAATACTACATTGAAGTACGAGTTCAGTTTTTGATTTGTATAAAATGAGGGTGAGGAGAAATTTTACTTTTAATGTTTACATGTTTAAAATATGTTCCTTGCATATTTTACTATTTATTTTTTTCATAAGAAACAATATATGCCACATAAAAAATAACTTTCTAATTAATCTATTTTTATTTATTTTTTTAATAATTATTTTAGTATAGATTTAGGCCTACAAAATGTGAAACTCAAGTGCCGTATTTCAGACATTGTGCCTCTGGGTGACCCTGTTTCTTTTGCCATCTTGACTTCTCTTCAATGGGAATATTACAAGAGATTACAGCAGATTTGTTTGAATGGGATTAATTGCAGTGATGCATGTAATATTGTGTGTGAGATGTGATTCAGCTGTATGCATTAAATGCTTTATCTTGACACTTATATATAAAGAGAGATTCTACTATATATTAATTTGTAGAAAAAGACTTTATTTTTAAACAAACAAATGCAAAAAAGTATCAAACAGGAGATGCAAAATGCACAAATGAGGCATTGCTGAATTGTTAAATGTTTCTCAAATTGAAAAAACACAAAATCTTTCCAGTAATTTTGTCTAGTTTCTTGTGCAAATATCTAAGTACATTTGAAACACAAAAAAACTCATTTCAAAGTAATTTTTAAGCAATATATAATAGCTTCTTTTAAGTCAGTTCTTGGATATTGATAAAGTACTTGAAACTAGAACAAAAATACTTTTCTGGATAGATTTGGTGTTTTTGCAGAGCATATAATTTATACTGTTCTTAGCTCAGCTGAATAAACAAAGAGAATCATCAGCTTAGAAAAATAATTCAAACCTACAATCAGAAACTATAATGTATAAAATTGAAAGAGAAGAATATTGTATCACTTCATAACGCAATTTTTTTTTTTTTTTTTTTACTATGTACATGTATGGGCATATTGAGCAGAAAATACCATCGTTAACACTAACTCATGATGTAAACAAAAGAAACAGCTCTTCAGGCCTGAACCTGGTTCAGTTCATATTTGTCCTTGGTGTCTGCAGAGATCAGGCCATCTCACTGCTGGCTGAAGGAGGGGAGCTGTTTTCCGCCTCGTGAAGATGCTCCGTGGATTTGATGACCTCTGGGTCTCTCGGGCTCGCCACCATGTCCTCGCTGTTGCAGTTGACGGGGGAGCCCATTTCTGGCGAGCGGTCCCCAGGCTTTTCGGAGGCGGCCTGCAGAGCGGCGCCGGAGAGAGGCAGGTTCAGCATATACATCATGTTGCCCATTCTTCTGGAGACCTGCAGGCATGCAAGCAAAGTAGATGTAAGTTAGATGCAGAAAGCTGCATGTGATGATGGCAATAATCAGCTGAACTTTTCTTCGATTTCTAAGTTTAAAGTTCTGCTGTTCTGGTTTAGAGACAAATACTCCATCAAAAAGGGTTGCACATTTTTAGGTTTCATTCACTACTGTAGTGAGCAATGAGATTTTTTTTTATGTTCCTTAAAATCCTCCTCACTGTCACAGTTTCAATTATTTTAAACTTTTAAAGTTTTCCCTTACCTGTAATATGGATATCTTTAAATGAATAGCTACTTTTTTATAGCCATTTCTTGACTTAATTTCTCAACTTGTATGTTTTTGTGTTCTTTTATAGGAAATTTCTGTACTCAGGGGTTTAGTTTAGTTTTTGTTGTTTATTATCACTAGTTATGTAGATTACAATGTAATTTATGTGGCAAAAATTTCCCAGTTTTGTAAACATTGACTTTTAACTTCGGGTCTGTGTACCTGTGAACGTATTTTCAGAGCCGGTCCTAGTTTGAGCCCCAGCGTGTCCAGAAGGTGTTCCTCTGAAAGAAGCGGCAGTGTTTCTCCATCAATCATGTGGTCCTTAAACGTCTGGAGAAATATTTTCAGAAGAATTAAAGCTGCAGTTTGTAAAATTTATAAAAAATATGTTTTTACATATTTGCTGAAACTGTCATTTTGTTGTGACAGTACAATATGAGACAGCTAAACTGTGAAAAGATCAGGCTCCTCTGCTTTCCCCTTGTCCTGATGACATCTGCACCCAGGAGGAGGGGCTTAGTGCTGTCAATCATCCTAGTGTATACACTGCTCACACACTCCCCTTGCTTTCTGCTACACAACATCTGGTTCACTACAGCGTAGCCTAGCATGAATACTCAAGCTAGTTCGTAAGTTGTTTCTCCATCATCAAGCAAGTTGTTTCTCCATCATTAGCTCATTGAGCAGCGTACACAAGGTTGATTGACAGCACTAAGACCTTCCTCCTGGCTCTGATTGGTTGTTTTTGGTTGCATTTCTTCAAATGGCAATGACAGCACTGGGAGGAGATGGAAAAGCTTGATCTTTTCACAGATTACTTGTTTCATGACAAGGTGAGAGTTTTAACAAATATGTTAAAAACATAATTTTGTAATAGTACAATTCTACAGCACAAAGAAAAGAAACAGAAGAAATAGAGATGTTCTCATGACTAACCTGAGCGTATTCTGAACATGTTGGGATACTGCTGATGAAGTTGTAGACGTCGTTCACCGACCACTTCCTTATGTCCTCTGGTACTTCCTCGCCGTTTAGAAAGAGATTTGGTGGACCTGGAAAGCAGAAGGCACATGCTAACTAAATCATCTCATAGTTTTAAATGAAGCTGTAATTCTCATACTGCTTATACAGACTCACCAGTTGGAAGGAAGCCGTTTCCTGGGACAGGGAAGACGTAAGGCATCCCTGTGAGAGCGCCGCCGGTGGAAGGGTAAATGAATTTTTCTTGGAAAGCAGAACACTGACCGGGTATTTCTTTATCATTCGAAGCCCCGTTGGTCATATCTGAACACCCGTCCTGAGCCGCGGCGCAGGTCTTACGCAGCCCAGCCTCTCCCTCTTTGTAGCTCTTCCTGCTTCCTGTGGCCAGCTCAGAGTCTGTTTTCGTTTGGTGGTGTGTTTTACTCGTGCCGCACTCTTCTCCCGCGTCCCCCTTCGCTTCCAGCTCTTTCTCCTCTCCAGACGTGGCCTCTGGACTCTGCTCTACACTTTTGTCTTCAGTTTGGCCCTTCAGGTTGGCCGCCTGGTTCTCCGTGCTCTTGTGGACGGCGGGCCTCCGCCCAGCCCTCCGACCTCTCTCCCTGTGCAGTGAGCTGATGGGTGGGTAGGGGCTGGCCGACATGAGTATGCTGTTGGAGTGCAGCTCATCCAGGGAGGGACGGTGGACGAAGACGTCGTGGCCGTCTGGCATGCGCTGGCGGCCCCTGAAGAGCATGGGGTTGGAATGGTACGACATAGGATTCTCCATCCCCATCAGCCCTTTTTGGTGAGCGTTCTCCAGCTCCTTCTGGTGCAGGATGGCATTCATCTCCATCCTGAAGATAAGTCAGCACAAACATTTGGTGCAAATGTAAGAACAAACTTTCTGCTGCTAAGAGAATTTAGCACAAAATCATGCCGAGAATATTTGATCGAGTTTGTAGTGCAAATTTCTTACTACAGAACTAACTTACAAGTAACTTTTCAGCAAGATATCAGAGCTTGTTTTAAGCCAATAATTCCTCAATATTGATGGGAAAGTATTAATACCACTGTCACATTATTTCACTTCAAACTTCAAATCTTATTGTAAGTGAAATAATCTACTAGTGAAACTACACTAAATCTGATCTGGTTTCTACTGCAAATATTTTGGTACACTTGAAATAAGACAAACCAAAGTAACTTTTCAGTATGGTTGACAAGCTTGCTTCAAATCAATAACTCCTTAATTAATATTGATTAAAAAAAAGTACTAGTTATAAGTGAAATAATTTGCCAGTGAAACAAAACATTTTAACTTGTAATAAGGGGAAAATGTCTTGGTCCACTGAAAGATTGTTTAATTTATAATAATATGAAATAATTCTTTGCAAGCTCCTATTTCTTACTAAAAAGTTTGTTGTAAGTTAGTTTTGTCTTATAAGACGCCAAAAATACTTGACAAGATGTTGTGTTTTTGCATTATAGTACTTTTTATATGAATAGTAAGGAATTACTTAATTTAAACAGGCTTTTATATCTTGCTATAAAGTTACTTGTAAGTTATTTGTCTTATTTCAAGTGTACTGATATTTGCACTAACTAAACCAAACACAGTCGGTAAGTGCGGTGATGATGCTCTACCTTGCTATGTTTTGCTTGTGTATGAGCTCCTGTCGCCGGGCAACCGTTTCCATTGGTTCCGAGGGCAGGAAGCCGTAGCCAGCTGAGAAGGAGGAAAATGGGAAAAATAGAGAACATCCTGTTAAGTCCTAACACCAAAGCTTGAAATTCTCTCAGGTGGGACGGCTGCGCTCACCTGGTCCCTGGAAGGTTCTGCCAGGCAGGACGTTGGCGTGGGGCTGAAGAGGTGGGCCCAGGTGAGGCCCCATGTGCATCTGCCTCGCCTCGGATGTTACCATGTCTGTGGGAGGAACCAGCTCCCTGATGAGGTCAAAGGATGAGATGTCAGACAAGTTGTAGTGGAACAACTTGTTGAGAAACAATTAGTTGAATATCACATTTTTCCAGCTGTCAGTTTCATAGTGCTGGAAAATCCTTTGAGTTGTTTTCATTTTAATCTGTTTCTAGAGGTGCTTAAAATTGTGCTTAGGCCATTCCCACGTTTTTACCCTCTAAACCAGAAGTTCACAAATTTTCCAGCTTCTGACCCACAAAATGAAATCGTAGGAGATCAAAAACCTCGACTCGACAAAATTAGTATAAACAGCCAATGTACTTCTATTAAGCTTTTTTTTAATTTCAAGTCCTGTTTTTCATCTTTTGCAACTTTTATAAAATACATGTGCTATCTGGTTGTCATTTTTAGTATTTAGATCAATTTCTTAAAAGGACTTCAAGGCCCCAAACCTACATATTCATGAACTGGACTACAGTAAAGCTATTTTTGTTGTTGAATAAGATCGGTTATCTCTCCGTTGTTGACATCCCTTCTTTGGCTTATTTTACATTTCAACATTGAATTTTGTTGCTTATTTTTAACTTTTTGCATGATCTATTCTGGATTGTTACAGTCCAAAGAGCCATTTCTGCTCTCAGTGCAAATAAATAGAATTAGTTTAGAGCATCCAAAGACAAATATAACATCTTTTTTTTTTTTTTTTTTTTTTTTTTTTCAAATATCCAACCTAGGATAGCTTCTCTATTTATTTTCCAATTTTAAGCTTGGATTTCTAAATTCAAGATTTAAATAATCCACATGCTTCATCTGATGGATAAAACATTTTTTCATTATATATTTAAATGACAAAACTGCTAAACTGAAAATTTTGCACCATTAAAATGTTGAATTTACTAAAATAGATATTTCCAAAAAGTTTAAAATGTCTGCTTGAAACTCTTGGGTGCAGGAAGACTTGATTATGTAGGTGAATTCAGATCCAGACCTCTCCATAAATCGATGTTCGAACTGTGCCGGGACCCCCTGCAGCCTCTGCTGGCCCTGAGCGAGGATCTGCGGCGCCATGGCCATCTGGTTCCTCATTATCAGCTCCTGTCTTTGCCTCAGTTCTACAAGAGCAGAGAAAATAGCAGCACAGGCCATTGAGATCAGCCTGACAGGACAGGAAGCTGTAACATGCCCTGACTGTAAATGCTCCTCAGCTTCCAGGCGCTGCTGCATGACGATCTGCCAAATTCACCACATAATGAGTCTAAAAGCTGGATTTGCATGAAGATCAGGATCCTCACCTCCAGCTGACATGCCGTTGACCAGCCGGTACCAGTGCTTCTCATCCAGAGTCCCCTGTTCGCCCAGTGCCGTCATCTTCCTCAGCTGCTCCCTGGGGGTCATCACAAACACACCACCTTCGACCTCCTCAGGAATCCTGCTCACAAACAGAATTTAATGTAATGTGATTTGCTGCTTAACATATGAAGTTGAACTCATTCGGAATTATTTTAAAATGTTTTGAGTTTGGATTTTATTGAGTACATTTTCCTCGCTTGGATTTCACAATCGCTTAACTTGTAGTATCTTCTTTTTGCCGTTAGAGGGCAGCAGATATCTTCTTTTTAATGCGGCGCGAATCGAAATGAATAGAAAATTAGAGAATCATTTAATACTTTATTAAATAATAATTTTAATGTTTATAAAAATGAATAAAAAGTAACCTTTATTAACAATGAAAGCAAATATCTGAGTCTGTGACATAATTTTCAGCCTGAACATGAAACCTTGACTTTTCTCATCTTTTCTGAAAATAAACAAGCAACCTCAGTGTTATTTATGTTTCTTTATGTATTTTTTTAACGTTTCCTTACATTAAATTTGATCTTTTCTAAAGCTCCCCTTGGAGATGTCATCCACCACATTATCCTCTCACCCTTAATCTCACCTTTCAAACTCCACTAATAACAATCTTAAATCCACCTTGGCTGTAACCTTCATCACAAAATTAATCTGTAAATCCAAATCCTCTCCCTATGCAAAGGCCAGCAAATATGCTCTTTTGCTGATGATTTTGTCTTTTTCTATCCTTGTAAGGACATTTAGTCGTGATTCAAGTCCAGCACTGAGACAAGCATTAATTTGCAGCCTGGAAAAAATAAATTAGCCTCCCTGTGTTGCCCAAATCCCATTACAAAATATGATACTGTAAATGACTCAGTAATCCAGTTCTGCTAATTAAGGGCCAACCTGCAGCTGCAAACATGAATGTCTCAGGCCGCCTCTTTAAATGAATCCTCTTAGGCTGATTAAATCAGCGCATGATTGATATGTTTGTCAGGCATGTGTTAACTGTGCACTTTTATTGTTTCTGATGTCCAGCTCCTTCCAGACAAATGCTGCCATGAAAAAATGCCCCAAGGCATCATGCATTATCCACAGTCCCTCAAGTTCCCTCTGAAAGCCGTGTAATCTGAGGGCTGTAATCCCTCTGTTAGTCCTGCAACAGTCTGCAGCCTACATCTGCTGACCTTCCTGGCCCGGCCCACTCCCCATCCCCACCTTCCTAGGCCCCTGCTACCCCCAGGATCCTATTAGCTAAGTCCTGGCTATACAGCACTTTAAAGGGATGTGTTAGAGGTAATCCGCACGTTTAGAGTTTTACCCTTAGCAAACCTTGCCAGTAAGCATCCCGGACAATACACCTCTAAGTGCTAAGCCTATTAGTCTCCATTAGCTCCCAGGATGTCCCAAAAACACCTTGGGGATAAATCTGGGGAAGCAATCGGTTTATGTGGAGCTATGTGGCAAGAACACATGCCACATCTAGCACCTTCCTTATCCATGTCACAACCACTAACATCAGCAAATCAATGGAAAGGATTTTTTAAAAGTTTTTATTTCTATAACAGGAGTGGAAACTGAAATCCCCAAGGTTCACACACACACACACACACACACAGTATTTAAGATTTGTGAAATGTGCAGCTTCATCTGAGTAAAGAAAGAGTATATAAAAATCAAAATTTTTAATGGTGAAAAGTTGTTCAGTTTGTTTTGAGTAGAGAAAATTTGAAGGACTTTATGTTTCCTGTTTTATCTCAAGACAAGAACAACAAGCATTTTAATGTAAAAGCTCAAATAAATGACTATAAAGTAATATTTAAGGTAAACTTAACCATTCATCCCATGAATCAAAAGTGACACAGGACAAATACCTCCTCATATTAGAGGTGTAACATTAAATGAGATTTTAGCTGTGTGTCTATGAAATTAAAAATTCTCATCTTTTGTTTCCACAAAGCTTCACAAATGTTGAACTGTGTTTTAGAGAATCTGTCTTCATCTTAGAATGACCCAGTTCAAGTTTAATTTAATTTTTTTTTATTTCAAACTAGAGATGATGCAGTCCACTACAGTGAAAATGGTGAAACAGCCCTTTAGATTAATTCAGATGGAAAGAGGATGCCAACTTCAGATGGTTTGCCAAACACATTCATGTCTTATCTGCCAGTTTTAGTTTGATTTAATTTTAAATTAAAGATGCTACAATATTATTTTGAAATATTTATATAATTTTACGTATAAAACACAAAATATTTTAACGAAATGAACAAAATAGTTAGCTTTTCATTGTTGAGCCAAAAGACAGTAAGGGTCCTGCACATTTGGTTTACTTAAAGAAAGATATACAATTTCATTTTTTGAGGGGTTCTAATGTGTTGTATTTTCTTACGTTTTCAATCTCTCCTTAAAAATGGTTGCAGATCTCGTCAACAAAGATCATTTTTAAAGGTGGGTTCTGCTGGTGTGAGACATTCGTGGCCAGAATTGGCCTGCAGGCCACAACTTTGGACACATCACTGTTAACGCCTCTATTGTCTCACTCAAGATTAAAACTAGTCTTGTTATTCTTGAAAATAAGACTCTCCAACAGAAACAGGATGTTGAAGCCCAAAGTAAATTTACAGTCTAATAAACTCGATACTCCATATTTTTGGAATGTGGGTGGAAGTCAAAGTTTCTACAAAAATACACGGAAGAACTATTATTGACCAATATGTGAACGTTTAACAATGCTAACCACACTTAGCTAAAATTCTAATGTTCCCTTTAGTAAATATACATGATAAATGACCGCAGCACTCTGCAATTTAGGAACAATGATGTTTATTTGTGTTTTTTAATCTCTATTGATATCATAAAAGAATATTTTCTCATAGCTTTAGTGTCAAAAAAAGTAAGTTTTAGGTTATGCTAACTACTTAGCAGCCAAGAGGTCAATATTTGTAAAAGTGAACAAACTCAAATCAACTGCACCACTGTGCCGCCTATTATAAATAATTGTATGCTATTTTTCTAAAACCACTTAACTTTATGCCAAATTGGTGAATGTATTAATGCTGACCACTTAGCGCCACAAACTATTTTTGGAACTAAAATGTTAATGTTAGCTGAAATGAATCCTCTTAAATAACTACATCCATGCTGCATAAGATTAATAAATATATTTTTAATTTAAGTTCTTCATTTTACTTAGACTGAGCAATTTTTTGGTCAAAGTTTAAATGTTGTATTAGTGCTAGCATAGATTGGCACAAAAAAAAAAAAACAAAAAAAAAAAAACTAATGTTAGCATAAGCGAATAACTGTGCTGCATAAAATCAAAGCTTATTTTTGATCATTCCTAGTACTTAATTTTTATATTGACTTTATGAACAAATCTTTGGTCAACATGTAAATGCTAATGCTAGCTTGATTAACCAGAAGTTAATCAAGCTAGCATTAGCTTTAGTGATTTTTCTAATACTGACTGTCCCTATTAACTTTATGAGCAAATCTTTGAGTTAAAAGAGTAAATGTTGAACATGGCTAATCTTACGTAGCAAATAAAATATTAATTTTATCCTAAGAGAACAAAACTGTTCAGGCAAAATAACCCAAATATGTGTAAAAGAACCAACCCAACAATTGTAGCTACAGTAAAACACAAGCCAAGCTTCAGAAAACGAATTATTACATAAGCAAAAACTAAGCGAGCCAGCAAAGTTCAGCGAGAGTTGTTTTATTGACATTTTTTTCATCAGTTTTCCTCTCTATACTTTTTAAAAATTGGATGTACTGACTGAAATGCAAACACAAAACATTACAGGCAAAACATGAGCTCCAACTTGCAGCGTATCGCTGTTTGGATTTCTCTAGTGAACCTTTGAACTTCAGCTCACTTTCCTGAGGTAAGCAAATCTTACATGCACATTTTAAGCATCTTTTAGTTTTGTGCGAGTGAATCCATCACGAAAGGTGAGCTGCATAGAAAAAAAAAACACAACCACCTCTGCCGTATTTCCTTCAGCGAGCAGAGGCCACACCACAGCTGCCAAATCCGGGGATTGGACTCCTCGGATTTGCAGTTGCCTGGTTAATCTCATTACAAGAATGAATTAAAGAGAAAAATTGCTGACAACTTAGATGGAGTCCTGAGGAGGTCATATCAGACAAGACAGAAACGATGTCTAGTCTTTCCTAATCCCCCAACACACACACACAGGTTGGAGCCATGCACATTCTGGCAGTTGCATGAAGCAGATTGCATTTCTTGAGACTTTTGTGCATCGTGAATATCATTTTCAGAAACAATTTCCCGTAATAAAATGCTAGCTTAACCTGTTTTATTTCTTTTTCCTTCAGATTATTACTGACCCACGTGAAGAAGCTGAACTAATTACTGTATTTGATTAACTGAAGATTTTAAGCGCTTATTTAATAGAGTAATTACAACAGTATTAGTTGGTTGTATAAAGTTTCTTGCTGATGCAATCTAGTTTCTCACATGGAATTTTAACAAAACAGAAAAAAATAAATATGTTGTTAGATGCTTGGTTAATTTTATTGACCCATGAGGTTATGTTTATGCAGCATGTTGCAGTAAAAGACTCACAAAAAAACTGAAAGAAAACCTGTGAAAAAAAACCAAACATTTTTAGTGACTTACCTTTACCTTGGCAGAGCTTTCAGGTGTTGCTGCAATTCAGGTGAAAAGAAAAAACAAAAATATGAGGTAATTTCAAACCGATAAGAGCTCGTCTCTCCTCTGTGTCTCCTTCAGCATCCAACTGGGCAGCGGACTGAGCACAATCTGCTGCCAGCAAAGTGCCTTAACTAAGAGAGACCTTTTAAATACCGATTCATTTCATCTCCATTAGCTGGCCTTATCTCCTGCGGTAAGCCCTCCCTGTCCTGACATCACTATGATCTCCCATCCAACCACCCACTGCACCTTGCAACTGATGTGTAATTACTGAAGCAGCACTGGTCCCTAAGCATGGAGTGCTAAACCTCTTTCAACGTTTACCTCACTAATCCCGTGTTAGCACTTTAGGCCACAGTTAAGACACCTAAATGCTTAGCTTCTTTTTCCAGTGGCAAAATGGCCAGCCCCCTCCTTCACTGCTTAGTGGCACCATGCAGAGAAACTGAACGCTGCTGTTTGTAGACCGCAACAGCTCCACTGATCAGTCTTGTAATCTCTGTTTTTTTTGTTTTTTTTTTTACACACGTCTAGATTGGGTGTCAGGAGTATTGTGCTCCCCAGGGTGCAAAAGAGCTGACCCAAACATGCTTGGTGGTAATTTGGCAGAAATCCGACTGAATGTTGGCTGGATCATCCTCTCAGACCTCCTAATCTGACAGTTTGTGCTAACCAAGCTTAAAGGAGGGGTCTGCATTTTGAATGATGTTTTCTTTAATGCCTAGTGAGGAGCTAGTTGTTCACAGTTGGTGGGCAGCAAAGAAAATTAGCCAAACAGCAGAAACAATGTGGAGGGGTGGGACAGAGGGGGGGCAACATGGGGCTGAATCTGAAACCCTCTGCAGGCAGTGGAGCCTCCTTTAAGGATGAATGCACTATTTGATCAAGAGTTATATTATTGTAATTGGTACAGAAATGTTGTACAAATAGATTTTCAATCATTTTATGCTTCCACAACATATTTCAGAATACTTTGAATCAAACATCTAATTATCATCAGGAGTGTAACATCAGAAAATTACTGTAGGACCTGTCTGACAATATGAAGTAGGCTGCAATATCTCAATGAAACATATTATTCTCAACCAGAAAAATTCCTAAGTCAAGATTGGACATTAAGCAGCCGTGTTGGGTTCTCCAGCTCAGCACTATACTAATTCAAAGCACTAACAAATCCACCTATTAATGAGTCAGAAATTAATGTCGACTTCTCAAAGTCCAGACCCAAATCTGCTTGATAAAAAGGTTGTTCATATTTAAAATTCCTCCAATTTGGCTGAACTGAACAATTCTGCAAAGAAGAGTTGCCCAAAATTCCTCTACAATGATGTAAAATACAGAAACACTTCATTATGCTATCTGTCAATTACTTTCTCACACAAGACCAGACTGATTTGGAAAGTTTATTCCCTCAAAGAAATTAAATCCTAATGAGGAAACTGCACTTTGTATTTACTTTGGGTATCTTGGTCTGATCTTAAAATTAGCTTTATGATCTGAAACATAGCAGAAATGCAAAAACAAAAGAGCTTAGAGGGAAAATGCTTCATCACAATTTATTTTGTACCTTTGGTGTAAAGTGGCACTTGCTTTGGAATAGGCATAAAAACAATGGATAACTCGTCTTACCCTTATTTCTTTATTGATGTGCCAGACTTTTTGTAACTTTAGGTTTTTGGAATAAAGCCCTAGTAATTTATTTCTGTACTTTCAGTGAGTGAAATTGACAGTTTTCATAAGTTTTTGTTTTGCTATAAAAAATAAAAATAATGACAAAATAAACTACATAAAGCAGATCTATTAATCATCACAGCTCTAAACAATTTAAAATCTGATTTTTAAGAAATGTAAGCTCATCTACATTTCTTCAGTTAAATCTATAACAAGTTATAAAGATTACAATGGTATTTTAGCAACAACAATTTAATCCCCAAAGAGTAACGTGGTTAGATTAACTCAAAAGATGACGGGTTTCTTTGGTTTTGTGTAAAGTTTCTCTTTTTTCTGGTCACACTTCTTCTCTGTTGAGCTTTTTAACTCTTTCATTCAGTATTTATTAACTTTCCTTTTGTTGAGTCAAGATCAGAGTGGAAGAAAGTGGGTGACATGACAGAAAGTCTGGAGATCTGCTGATCAATACTTCTTTAAAAGATGTCAACAACATATGGCTCTCTGATGACAGAGAGATGAGGAAGAGCTTACACAGTACAGTCTGTAAACAGATATTAACAGATTATATATAAAGATAACTTCTTCTTTTTTTTTTTTAGCAATTTCATGTTTTGGGTCTGTTAAGAATACCTAAATTATTTCTTTTTTTCTAACTAGAACAAGGATAGAGATTCTTTTAGATATTTTCTATTAACTTCTTCTTCAAATATAGAAGTTTACATAATCTTAGATTATTATGATTTCAAACAATTTAGGAAAGCACCAATGATGATGATGTCATGATTTTTGCAAGCTTCTGATAGATTAATCAATAACCTTCGAGTTAGATGGAGCCACACATTTGACCTGCTTCTTTTTGTGACGTTATGGAAAAATCAGGGATCAATAAATAAAGAACCGTATTATAATTTGTAAAAGCACTCTGAAAAAAATGAGTAAATTTTTGGAGTCATTTCCATTGATCTGATAAAAGCTACAAATGAAGAGTTTGGGAAAAATGACAATGTTTCTATTTTGAGTAAAAAGTGGAAACTTACAAGCCTAAAGACACCATCCCAACTGGAAAGCATGGCAGTGGCAGCATCATGGCAGAGGCAGCATCCTGGCAGTGGCAGCATCGTGGCAAGGGCAGCATCGTGGCAGGGGCAGCATCGTGGCAGTGGCAGCATCGTGGCAGGGGCAGCATCGTTCATGGCGCGGCAGCATCCTGGCAGTGGCAGCATCCTGGGAGTGGCAGCATCATGGGAGTGACAGCATCATGGGAGTGGCAGCATCGTGGCAGTGGCAGCATCCTGGCAGTGGCAGCATCATAGCAGTGGCAGCATGTGGGGGTTGGTTGACCTTTCATGACCTCTAGAAACATTTCTTTATAACTTTAAAATGATAGCAGCACAAACAAAAACATTTTCCTGCACAATCTTTTGACACCATTTTTGTCTGATTCGAAGAAGGTTCACAACATAAATAGCATAATGAGAAAAGTAACTACAAAATTTATTTTGGACAACAAAGTTAATGTTTTGGAGTGGCTGTCAGTTTCTGAAGTTCTGGTATTTTGCCTTCTTGGACCCCAGAAATAGTGAGATGATCATGAAGTATGGAATACAGGAGAAAGGACAAGAAACAAGCAAGCAACTAATTGAGTTTAGTCAACAAGGCTACTGGGGCACTGAGGCAGGGAGAGGAGCTCCATCTTCTGGGGAGACTCTGCTCTTGGCAGGTGTCACTAGTAGGACAACCACAGGCAGATTTCAAATTTGCTGGAGGATCTAGTTATCCATCCTGAAATAGAAACATCCAGGAGGGAGAAGTCAGTGCTTCCCTGGTCAATTTGTTGCCTTTAAGGTTTTGGGATTTCTGGGGTCTTTCCAAGTACTCTGGGTTCCTCCTAGACTGAAAACAGGCTGTTAAGTTAATTGGTTAATCTGAGTTGCCCTTGTGTGTTGGTACATGGCTGTTTGTCTCGTGTGCGTGTGTGTGTGTGTGTGTGTGTGTGTGTGTGTGTCTGTGTTGCCCTGGCAACCTGTCTTTGCTCTTTAATCTCTCTCAAATTTTTGAGATCAAACTGTTTTTAACAATAACCAGAGTGCATACACAAAGATTTAATTTGCTAATCCCACACTAAACCATTTAGGACTGAGGTGGTCCAGTCCAGCATTCGAAAGCTACGATCCTGCAGCTATCCTTACTCCACCACATCCGTTTCTGTGCTTCTACTATATTTGCTTATTTTATTCAATTATTTGACATGACATACATTTTAAATTTCGTTGTGCTTTCTTTCTTGCACAATGACAATAAAAGAAATTCTGATTCCGATTAATTAAACGAACTGTTACCAGACTTCTGCAGAGCGGATTCAGTCATTTGATTCAGGCGTATTTGAAGCAGGGACGCATTTAAAAGTTGAGGAAAGTAGCATTTTATGATTAGACTTGGCCATCTCTGATTTAAGATAAGTCTTTAACGTCGCTGTGGAGGAATCTTAGCCTAATTTTCTTTGCAGAACTGTGTTAATTGAACCATATTGGAACGTTTTTCTTCCAGCATAAATTACATGTTTGCCGCTGTTAGGATCTGTGTTTTTCTGTGTTAGTCCAGTTTCCCCTGTGAATCTGTCTTCCCTGTTGATTGCTCCCAGCTGTATCCCGTTCCCTGATTACCTTCCCTGTGTATTTAACCCCACCTGTTGTCTTTGTCTGTGTCGGATCCTCGTCGTGTGTGATGTCGTCAGTCTGTTCCCTGTGCCGTCTCTGTTGGACTTTTCATTAAAATTAATTATTTTCATCATCATCCTGGGCCTGCCTGCCTCTTACCTCACCTCACCCAAACCGGAATCATGACAGCCGCAGTATGTCTAAATCAGGTTCAAGACTTTGACTAGGTCATTTCTTTCTCATAAGTAAACCTTTTGGTAAATGTGCTTCTCACCTTGGTATTCCCATTTTTAGCACAGTCTCTGTTATAGTTTGTGGTAGAAAAGGACTCAAATGTAGAACAAACCATGTTAGAAGAGGAGCGTTTAATAAACGGAGAAAACTTACAATAAAAAGCAACTAATGGACCTTGAGTAGCAATGATGAAAGGAAACCAGAGAGCAACTTTTATACTGATGCAATGACAGCGAGCCTGATTAGCCAATCAGGTTAAATGTGGAGCAGCTGTGGGAGAAACTGCAGTAAATAGCTGAAAAACTCCACTTCTTTTTGTAAATATGAAGCTATGATAATAAATTTTTGAGGAAACAGAAATGTATGTGTTTTCATTACCTTTAAGCTGTATTCACCAAAATTACAAGAGCTACACTGCAAAAACACAAAATCTTACCAAGTAGTATAGTGCAAATATTTTTGTATATTTAAAATAAGACAAAACTAACTCAAAAGTAACTTATCAGTAACTTATAGGAGCTTGTTTTAGCTAAATAATTCCTTAATATTGATGACACAGAAATAATCTTTGGTAGATTATTTCTCCTGTAACATGGAAAACATGTCTAGTTTAATGTCTAGTAGTGATTTTATCTGCCAATGAAAAATACTTTTTCATCAACACTAAGGAATTATTTACTTAAAACAATCTTGTATATCTTTCTTAAAACTTAGTTTTGTCTTATTTTAAGTGTAATAAGATATTTGCACTAGAAACTAGACTAAGAATAAATAATAAAGAGTAAATGTTTGAACTCCATTGCTCACTTGATGTAATTCACTTTTTGAGCTGAATTACATCAGCTTTTTCATAACGTAATTTACTGAGTTGCTCCTGAATGTGGCCGTTCAGAAGTCAAATGGATTTTTACTGAAAAAAGCAGAGCGGAAACTACAAATAACGGACTTAGGAATTAGGAGAACAGGGGCTTTAGGACATCTAAACCGCTAATTTAAGAATCTCTCAGGTGTAAGCTTTTTATAAGGGATTTCTGTCCGTGTTGTTTGCACCTAGCATTATGGAGTCACGGTGAGGCGAAGGGATCAGAGCCGGTTTAACCTCAACAAACAGCTACAGCTATAAATTCTCTCTGGGTAAGAGGAAACAACGTCCATCTTCTAACTGCAGCAACAGTCTGGTGTCCGGATGAACCGCATTTCCTGCCTCTGTCACATGATGACCTGTTCCTGAGCTGTAATCCCTCTAATTTCGAAGCCTTGTGTCTTTCACGCCTTAAGGGGAAAATCTTGTTTGGATCATGATTGTTGTGATATCATGGGAGCCGGGTGGTTTTCTTCTTAGATATCAGTGAATTACCTAAGAATAAAAACCCACGCTGCTAAATATTTGGAAAAAATTTAAGAATAAAATATGAAAAAATAAAAAAGCATGTATATGCTTTCAAATGCTTTTAATGTAACAAAATGATCTAAAAGAAAAAACATTTGGTTCTGTTGCTGAGCTGCAGAGCTTTTTCTGTGACAGACCGCTGCGTCCGAGGTGCACCAAGTAGCGTTACAGGAGATCCTTCTTGACTCTGTAAAATAACTTCTTCCAACAAACAAATGAATGTTTTTATACCTGCAGTAATTTGGAGTTTCTCATTTCAAATATCATTTCTGGTATTTTTTTTAAACATCCCTGTTTTGCACACTCTCCTCTTCTCTTGTAAATAATTTGATATTTTTATGTACCGTACTTATTTACATGCATAAATGTAAACATTTTTCTTGAAAATGCCATCTCAGCAGAACATTTCTTTTATTCTGAGTATGCTATTTATGATAACTGCACAGTGTGATAAATTTGACCTTATACAATTTCTCATTGCTTTTTTCAATTTTTTTTTTTACCTTTGCATTCACAAACTTACCTTTAACTTACCTTCAGCTGCTACTTTACACCTTATACACCTTTCCAGACATTGGGGGAAGAAGGAACATTTCTGTTCTACATCATAATATAAATATCTATATTGTTCCAACAGGAGCCATAAAGGTTTGATCATATTTAAGATTTTTATCTTTAAAAATGTTATGATATTCATATTTTTGACAAATTTTAATTTATTTTACCTTAATTCTGTTACAAAACACAAAATTTGGAAATTATATTTACATTATATTTTAGCTCCTGACTCACTTTTGATAATGTTCTCATTGCAGAGTTTCACATATTATGTATCTCCTTATTAATAAGCTAGAAATATATCTTGTTTTCTTTTTGGACATACATATTATCTGATTTGAAATGTTTTTCTTATATCCTTTTTGAAAGCTCAAGCTTATCTTGTTACCATTTAATTTAGCTTTTTTATTTTTTGGTAATTCTTATTCTAATTGGACATGAAAGATTTGCCAAAATGAAAACAGTCCAGGTTTTATTATCTGCCTGCTCATATTAAATGCACTTAGATAAATTAATATTTTTATCTTTAAATCTAACAAAATTGTACAGAAGCATGAAAAAAGAAAAAAAAATGACAAAGGCAATAAAAGAACTGTGAAAACTACTACAGTACATAATACACCGCTGTCACACGTGGAACAAAACATGTAACTATGCTTATAGATTTCTGTAATCTATGCAGTTACCTAAAGTAATGAAAACATATTTGTTTAGCAGCCAAGGTCTGTGTTTGGTAAGAATCCGTCTATCTTGACATGAACAGGTGCCAAAAATCTCACACCTTTATGAAACCAAAACGTGACATGCAGATCAGATCTGGGGTCAGCAGTCGACCTACACCATAAATACAGCAACACAACGCTGAACATCACTGGTGCCCAGTAGAACAGGCAGGAAACAACTGAGATCTACTCCTGGATTTTACTCTGGCGATTCTCCTTTGGTGTAAATTTAGGTAAAATTCAGAATCTTTTCTACTTTTTTAAGGTTTTGCAGAAAGATGAAGCTCCTCCAGGTGTTTTCCTTCACTCTGCTGTCCGTCCTGGTGGCCAACGCTCAGGTCATCATGCCTGACAGATGCCCCAGCGCTGCTGTCCAGCAGAATTTTGATGCTGCCAGGGTGAGAAAGCCTTTAGATGAAGCAGCAGAAAAGTTTGTGGCTTTGTGTTGACTGTGAATCTGCTTGTTGTGTCGCAGTATCTTGGTAAATGGTTTGAAATCCAGCGGATGCCCCACACGTTCCAGAGCGGCCAGTGCAGCACCGCCACCTACAGCCTGGAGAGTCCTGGTGTTGTCGGAGTCATCAACAGGGAGCTGCTGTGAGGTTTACTCACTCTCACTTGATCAGATGCATCTATAAACACTGTTTTAAGATTGTATTTAATTTCAGTGCAAATGGGACCATTGATGTGATCACCGGCATCGCCAAACCCGACCCCACTGAGCCCGCCAAGCTGCTGGTCTACTTCTTTGAGAGTACAGGCCCTCGTTTGGTTTCCACGCTCTTTTTAATCTTGTTTTTTATTCCCGCTGCAGGTGGAGGTTTACTCACAGCCTGCTGTGTCTCTTTGCCCCTCCAGACTCTCCGCCGTCTCCTTACTGGGTCCTGTCCACAGACTACGACAACTACGCTCTGGTCTACAGCTGCACCGACCTCGGCGTGCTCCACGCCGACTTCGTGTGGATCCTGAGCAGGAAGCCCACTCTGCCTGACCAGACGCTGGAGGAGCTGCATGGCGTCCTGCGGTCCATCGGAGTCAGTGTGGACAAGCTGCTGGTCACCAACCAGGACGCAGATTACTGCAGCCCCATGAACCAGTAGATTGAGATTGTGGAGTTTGTATTTATTGATGTAGAATCTTTATTTGAGTTTAATTTAATAAACTTGAGTGTCTTAAACAAACAATGTGGGTCTCAGTGGTGTTCTACATTTTTTTTTAGGCTTGTGGTTTTTTTAATTGAAAGTGTCGCTTCAGAACATAAAAGGTAATGTTGAGCTTTGCCAACTAAAAATCATACATGGACATGTTTTGTATTTACTCTGGATATTTTTCCCTGATACTGAAAAATATCTGAGGCATTATTTTCACCAAAAACAGAAAAAAATTTGTGAGGTTGAAAATACTTTTCGCAGAACTGTATCTTCCACTCGGTGTGGATAAAACAGATGACGAATCAAAATCTTTAGATCCAATTCTTCTTTATAAAGCTATGTTCATTAAATGAATTATTAATGACTGAAAATTTTGTGTAAAGCAACAGAAATATTTCTGTAGCATTCTGGATAAAGTTTGGCTGCTGCATTTTATTTGCAAAAATGTATTTTCTATTAAATAAACTTCATGACACATGTAGTCATTTGTTCCATGAAGGTTTTATGAACAAGCTGCCCTATTACATCAAATAGTCCCTGAAGGACATTTGACTCCAAGATGCTGTGATGGTGAAACAATCCAGCCTCAGGATAATAAAATGCCTGTTTAAAGATTTTCTCCTAACATTGAGCATCAGATGAATTTTGTTCATCTTGAGAAGCGACAGGATTTTTTATTTTAATTGATTAATTGACTCTAAAACGTATATTAGACATTTTTTAAGCACATCTCACCTTTAAACTCTACTGCCATCAAATAAATAAAAATAAATCTAATAACTGCAAGTTATTTCTGCTGACGTTAATTTTTAAATCAATGTCAGGTGAAAACTGGCTAAACATCTTTATTTACAAATTAAGTTTTTTTTTTTCCTATTCCTACCATGTGACCACTTATATTTTGCCATCCTAATGAAGGATTAAAGTTGTTTCAATTAATGCTTGTACTTTTGTAATAATGATATTGTTTTATATTTATTGACAGAATTTACATATTTTGCATTTTAAATTTTCACCATTATTTAGCCTTTTACTTGGTTTTAGCAAGATAAATTTTCCATTTCTCCAAAGATAACTTTAAACAAAAATAGTCAATTATTTACAGCAATGTAATTTTTCATTGCCAAATAAATAAGTTTGACTTAAAGATATAAAAATAAGTCTTAAATATAACTTACAGTTTAAACTGAATGTTAAATGCAACCACTGAACCAACATAATGAATAAAAAATGCCTTTTTTAGGATGCAGGAATCAGGAATTTTATTTCCACAAAATAAAACACAAACATGTAGAAGACATTTCTTTAAATAAGATGAGGCTTGTCATAGAGACGCTTTTTTAACACGACTCCGTCTCACTGGTACATGGGACTGCAGTACGCCTCGTCCTGAATGGTGGAGACCATCTTGTCCACGCTGACGCCGATGGAGGACAGGATGCTGAGCAGGTACTCAGTAATATCTTTGGGCAGAGTGGGCTGCCTGCTCAGGATCCAGGCCAGTTCCACGTGGAACAGGCCGTAGCTTTTGCAGCTGTAGACCAGAGCGTAGCTGTCGTAGTCGGTGGACAGAAGCCAGTACGAACCCCGAAGAAGAATTACTGCAGCAGCAGGAGGATTTTAAATAACTTCAATAAATACACTCGTTTCTGAAAGAAAATTGTTTACCATCAGAGAAGGTGACCTCCAGCTTGGCTGGCTCAGCAGGGTCCTTCACTTCAACCGTGCCAAAAGCAGACCTGACTGTTCCATCGTCACTGCAGGTTAAAAATAAAAAAGTAAATCAGTTCTGTTCAGGATTACAGGCCGCAGGACTGTTTGACTGACGATGTTCAAAAACAAGCAGGAAGTTTAACTCACAGCAGCTCTCTGTTGAGGACTCTGACGACTCTAGGACTCTGCAGGATGTAGTCGCTGGTGGCACATTGACCTTTCTGGAAGGCTGATGGCAGCTTCTGGATCTCAAACCATTTACCAAGATACTGAAGAGGAGCCACAGTTATTAAACTTCAAACATAAAGAAAATATTTAGCTTATTTACAAAACAGGACTTCTGAGTTTGTCTCACATCATCAGAGTGGCGTTTAAGCACAACCCACATATGGAGGCTCTAGTTTTCAATGCGGTTCGCTTCCCGGTCTTCCCCTTCTCTCATTACCCACTTTTTTTTTTTTGTCAATTTACTCCCAAGAAAAAGCCATTAGAGCAATTAAAACCTTTTCCCCTCAGAAACTACTGACCATCAATAATCCCCAAATTAATTTTAAAAGACATTAGATGCTACAAAAACACCAGCACCAGTTGCAGTATATAATCACTTTTATTTCAAAACATCAAACAGCACTGACAGCAATATACAACAAAGGTCATACATTCATGGTACTTTGCACTGAAGGTGAAGTGTGCTTTGAAAGTTCATTGGAAGTGACCATGGATGGTCTTGTGATCACTGATGGTGAAGTGTCTTTGGTGCTGTTCTTGTTTTCACCAACATGACGGAGGAAGACTTCCAGCCTGTAAGGAAAAACAGGAAATATAGCAGAAACATTAGGATAATAAATACATATTTTAAAAAGAAGTTTGAACAAAACTAATCAGACTCACCTGTGTGTGTCACCATCATATTCATTTAAATTACTCTGCCCATCTGGTTTACAAGATAAAGCATAAAAAAGTCAGAAATAATTACTAAAGAAATTAGTAAGCTTATAGAAAATTTTTTGGACAGCATTAAAAGTCATGCCAACCTGTCTGGAGAAATGTGTTGAAGTCATCATCAACATGACACACTAACAAATAAAAAACATTTTGGCAGCTTTTAGATGTGCCACAGGAACAAAGAACCAGAGTCAAATAGCTCAATTGCCTCCTCATTGCGTAGATATGTTCTCCAGAGTCCTGCTAATCATCTAATTATTGTATTCAGGTGTGGTGCAGCAGCGGCACATCTAAATGTTGCAGGACAGTGACCCTCCAGGACTGGAGTTTGACGCCTATGGCATAGATCAAGCTGGGGAGTGGCTGTGCTCCCATGTCTACAGCCAAAAATTTAAAGAAAACGACTCCGCAGCTAAATAATGTCAACTCAAATGGCCTCCAGATTTTCCTGACAGTTTTAATGTTCGGTTAAGATAATAAACAGTCGTATAAACCGTGATATCCAAACAAATAAACGTACATTAAGCGAACTGTGTATATGAATCGATGCTCTTGTGTAAACGGAAAAATAATGCCTCCATAAAGATTAGTCAAAAACATGATCATTTTAACATGGAACTTACTTTGCTATAATAAACTCCAGACAAGACGCCATACTGCTGCCTCCGCTCCTCAGGCAAACATGTGACGCAGTAGCGGAACAAGATGGCGTCGGCCGGGGGGCGGGGCTAATAACCGGGCCCAAATAATAACGCTCATGATAATTTAACTTTACAACATATACATGCCCGCAACAGCGAAGCTAACAAGTCTCATCACCACAGAGAGCGACTTTGATATTTTGAAGTCCATCTGACATGAAGTACAACAAACCAAGAGAAGAACAGAAACATCAGGCTACTGGTCACTAATGATGAAACAACATAAATTCAAAACATGTTAACGTTCCGTAGAAATGCTCTAGCTAGTTTGCCATTTTGTTGCCAAGTAACTGATGATGACGTTGGTGACAAGCTTTACCTAGAATGCACCTGGAGACAATAAGGACGATTCATTTGTAGCTTTGTGTGTCATAAAGTTAAATATAAGAGTGAAAATAAAGCCAGTCATGTGGCAGAACTTTTTATTCAATATTTTACACTCACTATGTCACTAAAATCAGTCAATCTGGTAAGGTTTTTTGCAACCATGAGTCAACAATGAGGCACCCTACTATAAAATCTACTGAGGGTCACAGTCTTCAACAGAAGAGGGTAGGTATTTGAAGTTTTCATCAGATGTAATAAAGAAAATTTGGATTTCTGAAGGTATATTTTTCATTCTATGTGGGTCCCTTGTAGGTCCAGGCCAGGGATCTACTGCAACCCTTATTCTACCTGTATCTCCTTCCCTGCAGTGATGTCACAAATATGTTACAATTGTGTGAGGAACTGTCTGATGTTGATTTCTAAGTCAACACCAGATTGAGTGTTGAGTTAGACTATTGGAGTTAATTTGGAAATCAACACTGGACTAGATTGCTTTTTGTTTAACTCTTTGGTGAGTGTTAGGGAAACTAACACTAACACTAACTGAATTAACACTGTATTTTTAACATACAACACTTGCACTGGAAATCTGACACTTCTGAATTTGCTGTGTAGTCGGTATAGTTGACTTTTATTTCAGTAATTTTAATTTGAAGTATCGCTACTATTAGTTGAGTAAAATTTTTGGATTCTCTTCACTGAACAAAGGACAAACGGTTTAACCAAAAATTCACCAGATAAAGACACTTATTAGACTTTTTCTTGTTTGTTTGTTTTTTTTTTTTGAAAGAAACTGATTTAGAAAAATATTTATTTTGCCTTATTTTATTATTGCCTTATTTACTTTTTATTTCATTTCTTGGCTACTTTCTGCTATTACTTGAGAAAAAATACATTCAAGTAGTGCTGCTCTTACTTGAGTACAATTTTTTGGTTACTTTACCAGATTAGATAAAACTTTGCTCACCCTGGCAGGATCAAAGTTGTACTGGACTGCAGGATCGGGACATTTGCCAGACTTGAAAAGCTGGGCGCCGCCTCCAGCAGCAAGCAGCATAGTCAAAGTAAGAATCTGCACAGCGTTCATCTTGTCGCCTTAGTCTGCAGAGAGTAAAACAGAAAACAGCAGCTGAAGACGAGTCAAAATCCAGCTGCTTCAGGAAGGTGTGTCCTGCTCACCTGTGTGAAACCAGCAGGAGTGACCACAGCCTGTTTCTGGAGGCTTTTAAAGACCCGAACGTCTCCCGTCTTCAGCCCCTCCTTGTGGTTTGGTGAAGTGGGAGCTGGGACCTGCTCAAATGAAACAGACTCTGACCAAAGATATTCAGCTCCACAAAGTTTGGTTACATACATTTTAGGGAATGTTTTTATAAAGTTAAATTTGACTGCCTGTTTGCGTCATAACCTGAAATAAAGTTAGCACAGTTCTTGTTATAAAAATAAAATCTCCAATGTAAAAATATATTTCAACTTTGAAACATTTTACAGACAAGTTTTGTCATGATGTCATGACATTACACATAAAAAAGCATGTTGATGAAATCAAATATATCCAAAACCAAAACATACAACAATGATTTTATTCCATCATTACCTTTTAATCTTCGGTGGTTTATTGAAACTTATGGAAAAGGCTTTCTCCCGACAAGGTTTACATCCAGTCCACTAAGTTATTAAGTTTTAACTTCATAATTTATTTATCAACTAAAAGTTGATAAAACTTTAAGTAAAAATGGTTTGACTTTGAAGTATTTAACCCAAAAACAAAGAAACCTGCAGGGCTGGACATCAGTCCATGTAGCAGGTTTTGTTTTTAAAATCTACAAAACACTGTTCATCTGTTCTTCCCTGCTGCTTTTGCACTAGATTAGGACTATATCTGCAAATTAGCATGACTGTTTCTATACTAGTTCAAGTATTTTTTTTTGTTGATGAAACTGAAACAAAACTTTGCTCTAAAATAAAAGAGAGACAGATATTTCTTCTAAAAATCAATGCTGCTTCGTTAGGCTTCAGGAGGAAAGTGGAAAGTTTTAAAATAATGATAAAATCTTCCAGCTGCATGTTCAACATATTTATTGAACTGAAAGGAAATTTCACCGTAGGCCTGACCTTCTGCTTTGAAAACATCCAGACCCAAAAGGCTTTTTGTGTTGGTGGACGGGTTTTAACCATAAAGCGAAATGCTTTGCAGTTAATGGATAACGAACGAGACGTTACACAACCGGGACACATGACTGACTGGCTTCAAGGTAAATAAACTTAGATAACACAAATCTGTTGAGATTAAGCTTGTTAAATAATTTACTCTTGTTGGACACATCCTAATCTAAAACTAACATGTTTTCTAAAGAATTATTTAGATTTTGTCTCAAATAAAGAAAGCCAGTTATGTCAGCAGCATAGCTAAAAGGGTACAAAAAAATAATAAAAATTAATTAATTAAATCAAACTAAGCGTTTCCTGCTTTAGGTCAGTTATTATTAAATTATTTCTTGTTGCTAAATTTTTTAAAAAATATGTTATTTAGAGCCAATCAAAAAAAATAATTACAATATACAATTCTTATTATACATATACACCTATAAATACACTTACCAATAAAATACTGACAAAATAGTGCATAAAAAAATCAATTAGAAACAATTGCGATGCACAAGTTTCAGCCCTGCTTTTGTTGCTTTTTCAACTAAAGGGAGAAAAATTACATTAAAAATAAAACTAAGCAACAAACTCAACCCTCCTTCGCATCTCAGATCCCCAAAGTCAATCCCCCCCCAAAAAACAAAACAAAACACTCAATGGAAACCCATATTCATAACCAAAGCAACAGAGCTCAATGACGGGCACCATCAGTTGGCCAAAACCTCCCTAAATGTTCATTTTAGTTCAGAGGTTTGCATGCGTTTCTTTTGTTTTAGCTGAAAAACGCTGTTCACAAACGTTTGCTGGGATTTTGGCCCATCCCTGCTTGCTGAACTGGTGTAACTGGTTTTGGTTTCTGGGATGTCTTTGCTCCAACACTCTTTTACACTAATACCTAGAATTGCAGATGGTGATAAATCCAAAACATGGATCTTGTTGTCTTGAGTCATTGTCAGTTTGTAACTTCATGATAATGGTTTTTCCTCATAGTGCCATTTAGTTTGTGATGCACAGCAACATAAAATCCGATGCTGCAGCTCCTGTACAACACAGAGGAGACGGTGTTTGCAGCCTTACAAGCTTTCCCCCTAAAAATGCAGCTATAGCACTTCTATGAAGTCATTTCTTTTGTATTAGAAGCGCCCCTTTATTTGTCCACTTTTAAAAATCTTCTTAAAACACATTTTTATTTCTTGGCATTTAACACACCTCCGCTCTCACTTCTGTTTTAGCATTTTTCGTCTTAATCTTAACCAATAACCATCACAGCGGTCGGTTCAGTTTAGGAGACAGATCGTCCTCGAGGTTTTGACCTCAGTCATTCCTCAGCAGCAGGAAACATTCTCAAGCTCTATGCACGTGTCGCTGTTCACTTTCATGGTTTTCTGTCCTCCCTCTGTGGTAATGCACAGTTTGTATATGTGTGCACAGCTGCAGGGACATCAGCAGCAGCACGGCTGCATACGCGCTGACATGTGAGTCTTTACCGCAGCCGTTACACAACATTTTCTTTTAGGTGTGGAGCTGAAATGTGAACCAGCAACATTTTGCTGAACCCAAATCTAAGTTTTATTTATTTATTTTTGGTCAATGAAACAAACTTTTATGCCTTCAATTAAAGGCTAGAAGATAAAATTCTGTGTTTTTTTTTAAGGTTTGAAAACTTTCTTTTTGGATGAAAATTGGAAACAAGTGCCTGATCATGAAAAGTCAATATGAGGATATTGTTTAATTTCCCGAAAGGTCCGCTGATCATTTCACATTAAAGCGCCTCTGCTGCCCTCTAGTGGACAAAAACACAGAGCAGATTTTCATATCTTACAATCTAAAGGTAAAATATGTTCTGTTGTATGTGTATGATTAATTCAACCTGATATTAGTATTTCAAGCAATAAACTGTTTCAGAAACCGAACAACAGAGCCCCTTTGCACTGTGATATTCACAAACCACAATATCATAGGTACAGAGGGTCTCCTCTGGATGAAGGTGACAGGAAAATCATAATTCCCTCCTAACGTATTGAACTCTTAAACTGGAGTACCTGGAGAGAACCCACTCATGCATTAGGAGAGCAACTCCATACAGGGATTCAAACATACTGAAACATAAGTGAAACAACCCTGCAGTTTCATAATTCATGAAACCTCATGGGACAGAATATCAGCACAAAAAAGAAAATCCAAACACACAGCCTTGCGATAAGATTAAAAATGACCAAAACTCTCCTCCGAATCCACCTTTGCAAGCTGCATCTTTAATACATTTCTCAGCTCTTTGATATTTCCTCATTATCCTGCAGCCAGTTTGGCTGTGCGCTCGCTTCTTTCCTTGATCTTCTGACCAGTCGAGCTCATTGCCTCCATCCGGGCAGAAAGCAGCCGCCGCTGCTTTAACCGGGCTTTGATGTGTCTGGCTGCAGCTAACAAGTCATTCCTCCCTGAAATACAAGCTGGATATATTAGCTGGAAATTGAGCCTTTTGATCTTTATTCTTCTTTAGTTTAACCTTGTTTGTTGCCGGAGGGCTTTGTCTGGAAGCAGACAACATTTAATAGATTTCTGCATGTAAATCACAGTGTTTATTTTAGAGTATTCGTGTTATCAAACAGCAACCGGACCTTACAGATAATGAAATGTCAAGTTACTGACTCAGGTTCTAGCAAACACGTCTCATTCTTATGGTATCTAAGGTTTCCTGTGAAATTATTTAAAGTTTTTAACCTGGTCTCTGTAGTTTGCTGCACAAAATCCATGTAGATGGGGAGATGTGAGTAAACTCAATTTCGGACTACTGAACTGAAGAGGAATAAATGTTAAGCTTGAATCTTAAAGAATTTTAAAAAGTGCATCTTAAGTGTGTGACCACGAAAGCAACCACGTTACTAAAAGGTTTACAATTTTGACATTTGTTTTTCAGTTGAATTGAATATGACCATCCTCTTCACAAAACTGTCTTAGGAAGGCAGAGCATTTTCAGTCAGAGGCATCTTCATCTTCAGTGCAGTACAGACTGCTGCAGAAATGCCATCAGCCATCATGATCTTCAATAACTCTTTGAAGAATCTAAATTAACGAGTTATAACAACACTTAATTTCCCTTTGGGATTAAAAAAGTATTTTTGAATTTGAATATACCTCACATTGAATATGGAAAAAAATCTTTGAAATAATTGAAAGAAACCTGGGGTATGCACACTTCTGACTGTAGGTAAATCAGTGGAAAAATCTGAAAAATGAGAACAAAAAAAAGAGCACAAGTTCTCATCTCTTCTGATAACTTTGTGACATTCCAGCCGGAGCGTCACCCATGACTCTAATTTGGTAATAACCGACTTTGCGCCGGTAATAAAACTGGAGAAAGACAAAGAATCTCATTGATTTCAGAGACGTGCAAAAACTTTGTGGAGAGCAACTTCTCTGAGTCAAACCCTGAGATCTCTGAGGAGAGAACACAAATCCACAAAGAAGAACAAAACCGGTAAGATAAATTTACTTCCTCTGACCAACTTAAACAATCCTTTACTGATTTTAAAATGTATAATGTTTGTAGAATGGAAGTGAATAACAGCAGCTTTTGCTGTTTTTCTGCATGGTAACGCAGCCTGCTCTTATCATGAGGGTGTTTCTGGCTTCGATTCTTGTGCTTGTAATCCCCATCATTCGGGCTCAGGTTCCCCACTGGGGTCCGTGTCCAGAACCAGAAGTCCAGCCTGCCTTCATCCTTAAACAGGTAACAGAAGATGAGTCCAAAATGTCTTTGAATGACCCAATTTTAAAAAAGTTTCAACAGCTTTTTCTTTTATTTTTCTTACCAAACATTAGAAATAAACATCATTCAAAATATTGTAAAACTCTATCCTGGTGTCTTTTAAAAATAATTTTACAATAGAGCAAATATTAGTGGTGTTAATATTTTTAAAACCTTTTTGAAAAAGTGAAAGTGAAAAAGTTTCTGCAAATCTACTCGCTGTCTAAACTAAGAAATTATTATTATTAGATGTTAAAATTTTACAAGTCATGCTTCACATTACAAAACGCCGGGAATGCATTTATCTGCAGCTGTTAAAAATAATAAAATCTCACTGTGGTAAAGGGTTGTGTGTTAAAATGACATTAAATGAGATGGAATACATTGAAAAATGAATATGCAGTATTTCAAAATCAAAAATAGTTCATGCATTTCTCCTATTTTATCACAAAGAAGCAACATCTCATCATTTTATCCGTTCTCAAAGACTGCACAAACTACTATTCAACTGAAATAAAACATAAAGTGATGCTTTAAGTGCAGACTCACTAAGATATTCTCTACTATATTGTCCTTGAGGGGAAAAAAAACCGAGAGTGCAGGGTACTTAATGACTTTCCACTGCAGATACAGAGCGGGCCTGAAAGCTAACCTGTCGCATGTTTCTGTAAACCCATTACAGTATGTAGATTTATTCATAGTCTCCTCTCACGTCGCTCTAAATTGCCTCTGAACCCGTGTGTCCCTGGCCCTCGCAGTTCATGGGGAGATGGTTTGAAATTGCCAAGCTGCCGGCCCAGTTTGAGAAGGGCCGCTGCATTGAGACCAATTTCACTCTGACGACGGACAACTCCATTCGAGTGGTCAGCTCGGAAATACTGTGAGTCACTGCGAGCGGGGAACCTTGTGTAAATGTGTCAGCAGGCGCTTGTTGGCACCGTTTAGCGCTGCGTAAAAACTCTCTGTGTGTGTTTGTGTGTGTCAGAAAAGGAGAGGTGAGGAAAATTGTGGGGACCGGAGTGATAGAGGACCCAAAGAATCCAGCTAAACTGGGAATAACCTACTCCTACGGTCAGCGGGAATACATCGGAGTAAAAATAATCACCTCTTGCTTATGTTCTGACCTTTGACTTTTACTCTCTGTCTATTCGACGCAGTCCTCCCTTACTCCCCTTACTGGATCCTGTCCACTGACTATGTGAACTTTGCCCTGGTGTACTCCTGCACGGACGTCCTCAGGCTCTTCCACGTGGACTTCGCCTGGATCCTGGGCCGCACCCGCAGCCTGCCGGACGCCACCGTGGAGAAGGCCAGGGAGACCTTCGCCACCAACAACATCGACGTGACCAGGATGATCCCCAGCAGGCAGCAGGGATGTGACAAAACGCTCTGAGGCTGCGGCGGGAAAGCAACACAAGATGGCGCCGTTGCTGGTGGAAGAAGAGAAAGGATTGCAGATTTTTTTTCTCTTTATTTCTACAGAGAAGAGTTTTAATATTTTATTGCAGTTGTAATGAATAGAGTAATCTCAGCTGTTTGCTTGCTGATTAAAGTACATAATCTGATATGAGAACGCTTTGTGTCCATCTGCTAAAACATTTTGCCTTTTTTAATCAGACACATCTCTTATTGGGCAAGCCTCAGTGGAGTAGATTAATTTTATTAGAAGGAAACAGCTGTGTTTTTTTTTTTTTCAGTGAAAACACATGATACTGATTGCTCTATTCGTCTCTCAAACTGCAAACATGAAGGATCTCATTAGTCCTGTTAGAGTCAGGAAAACATGTGATCTCTGTTGATTTAGAGACAAATTAACGTGAAGCGTTTTCCTGGGTTTATTCACCTCGACCAGATGCCAGTTTTGTTTTCGCTGACTGATATAAAACCTTTGTGGAAAGTGTATCAAACTGCAGAATATCAACTATGGATGCCTAAGCAGTAAAATGTGCTACTTGGAACAGTCTTCAATTAAACGATTTGCACAAGAGAATAAAAATCTTCATGTTTTGAAAGTAAAAATCCTGTTTCAAAACAGTTAAAATATAGAATCTCAGAAATTAACTCATAAAGCTTGCTGTGATTTTGTTGCCACTAACTGCTGATTTTTATTTTATTTTTTTCATTATTGACTTTTAAAACAATGTGTTCATGCTGACCAATTTACTGTCTCATTTACTTTTTGTTTGTAGCCAAGAACTCTTGTCAGATTCCTGCTGGCCTTTTACTTTAAGGTAAAAAAAGAAAGAAAGAAAAAAGACTGTGTATTGAAAATAATTTATAGTTAAAGTCAAGATTATTTACACACCTCTTGCAGGTTTTGGTTGAAATAATTTTTTTTAAAACTTACATCAGTAAAAAGTAAATATGTCTTTTTTTGACTGATGCTCTTTTGACATTGTTTTATTTTCTTTTGAGACATACGAGCACCATTTCCTGTTGGCAAATAAACATTTTTAGTTGAATGAAAGTTATTTAAAAATGAAATCTGCAGTAATTTTGAGTTTAACTGTACCTGAGCTAGAGCTGTTGCCGTGCAGCAAGAAGGTTCTGGGTTCGATTCCCGGCCCCGGTCTTTCTGCATGGAGTTTGCATGTTCTCCCTGTGCATGTGTGGGTTTTCTCCGGGTACTCCGCCTCCCACAGTCCAAAAAACATGACTGTCAGGTTAATTGGTCTGTCTAAATTGCCCCTAGGTGTGTGTGTGTGTGTGCGCATGGTTGTGTGTCTGTGTTGCCCTGCGACAGACTGGCGACCTGTCCAGGATGTACCCCGCCTCTCGCCCGGAACGTTAGCTGGAGATAGGCACCAGCACCCCTCCCGACCCCACTGAGGGACAAGGGTGTTCAGAAAATGGATGGATGGATGGATGTACCTGAGCTTGAAGACAAAGTGAATATAACCTTTTTTTTAAGCATTCAGCACTGCACTTTTGAGAAAATTAAACACCAAATCAATTACAAAAATAAAAATAAATAATAGACACCAAAAGTTTACTTATAATAGGAAGCTGCAAGTTTAATAGACGATGAAGTTTAATTATTGATTCGCATTTAGAGATGTTTGCATAGAGAGGAAAAGATAATACATATCTGTCTAAAATACACCATTTTTCTTCAGTGCAGCGACTCATGCACCTGTCTTTCTAACACTTTTGCTGTCTGGATTGCACAAACAAAACAGGACACAGTTGCTTTTTGCTTTATGTTTGCATAAATTTCTGCTATATTGTTGTGGCAGTTTTCATTGTTCAGCATAATAAGGAGGGGGAGCTGTCAGAGGCCACGCAGGTGGCGAAGAGCTGCGATGAATGATGCTCTCCAGGATGCATCGTGGTGGTTTTTCAGCAGCGGTGTGCAGAGTGCGCTCTCTCTCTCACACACCAGCATAAACATCCATATTTCCCTTCAATAACTCAACCTACAGAGGCTTCATAGAGGCACACAATTATACATGAAAATGTAGATTTAATTAGATGAAACTTACAGACCACGCTTGCTCACTATTGACTCAGTCTGAGCAGCTCTGTGGGCTTTCCACGGTGAGCAGGCCTGGGCTGAGTGGGAGTAAAGCCTGGATCATGGGGTACACAGCTCAGACGTGGCACTTACCCCCATAGAGAAGAACGTAAACTCCTCAGACATACAAAGAGGAGCTCTTCCAGCTTAAATACTGCAAAGAGAAGACAGGAAATCCTCTTAAACAGTGTCAGGCTGCTAAAGCAAGCAGATACTAGGACACAAATATTAAAATAAGCTCATAAAACTGGAATGTTTTAGCTTCTGTTTATTTTATATAATAGATTAACAGTAGGTTGTGCACAATTGTGAATTAAAAAGTAAATGAACCATGGTTTCAAAAGGTAACACCAGCTCCTCTGAAAAGAAATAACTGGGGGAAAAAAAGTCCTGGACGGATAAATCTGTGGTTGATGATTCCTGATTATAAAGTGGTTAATCAGATGATTTAGGTGTTAATCAGGAGCCAAATTGCAGAAAGTTCATTAGGAGCTGCTGCACAGAATAACAAGCTGTATACTGATTGAATCAGGAGCAGAGATTAGCAGCATGAAGAGTTAATGATGGTCTAATAAAAGTAAGGGGCAGCATTTTCCTCTCGTCTGTTGTTTCAACGTTGTTTTCTAAATGTGTTTTTTAGTTGCATTACCAGCAAAGAGCAGACTGGCTTTCCTTTTGTTCCTGTAAGATGCATGTTTGCTGTCTGACGGGCTGAGGGAAGCAAACACTCATTCAGACGTAAAGATTTTCCACATATGTAAAAAGGTGAGACAAACCATTCTAATCACAAGCCTAAAAATACAAACATGTCGGACTAGTTAAAGATATTTCTTTAAATTTCAGGTTAAACATAATAAATACTACAAATGACACAAACACTAGTAACTAATTCTATTTATTGAGGTATTAAATCCAACAACATGATATACTGCAGGAAAACATTGTGAAATAAACATTAATATTGCTTTGTTTAAAAACTATGAACTCATTTTCTTTGTCTTATTTTGGGTCTGAGAGAGCATTTTCTCTTAGAAAAATATAAAGTACGTGTTATTGATTATACTAAAGTATTTGCAGGTGTTAGGATTCATAGCAAATAGCTAAAATACGTGAATACTTGATACCCCTATTAAAAACGCTTATAGCAACTTATTTTAATCGTTCAAACAAAATTTATTACCTTGATACAAAAAAGGGAATGCATCCTGGCACTTCAGCAGAAGGTAACGCCCACTGTCTTCCTTATATCCGCGCTTTTTAAAATTTTTTTAAAATAAGAAAAATCCCAGCTGTGTGGCGAAAATGTCAGAGTCTCCTGCATAAATGAGACAGACGCTGGCAGCAACCGCCTGCACCTCACCTCCGTTTCCAGTGCTGGGAAATATCACAACAAAAGTTTATCTCTCTCAGAACAGCAGGGAAAATGGGAAATTGTTTTGGCAAAATCACGCCACATCAGAATGCCTTTAATTTAAGTTTTCAAACTTCTGACTTTCAGGTGTTTTTGTAAGATTTTTCTTTGAGTTATTTTTGGGACAAAGTTTATAGGAGTGTACAAAATACTTAAATAACATATTGACATGCTTTGTATGCCTTTTTCTTTTTCTTAAGCTCAAAATATTAGAATTTGAGAGCAAATCAAAACAATTTGTTTGGAGGTGGAGTTGAGAAACTACAACATGAAAATAAAACAAAATTTCAAGATGGAATCTGAAACTAAAGTGCCAATCTTTCTATGCTACTATAGATTCAACACCGATACCAACTTGGCTGAAAATGTCAATATCAGTATTATAGTATCAATATTATAAACGTCTTCTACATTATGATATCTACATATGTATCTATGCATACAATCTATATGTGTTTTGCTTGGTGAATTGAGGTACTTAAATAAATATTTTGATAATATTCTAACTTATTGGATATGGTTGTATGTGTTTATCCCTATTAAACAGGAAATATTTGTTTACAGTGAATCACAAACATATCCTCTAAAGTCTTTGGCCTTTCAAAACAACAGCATATACAAACATAAAAATGGTCACATATACATATAATGGTAAC